TGAAGCAAGCATTTGTCATACCAAAGAATGAATGCTGATGTCGAAACAAAGAGATGGACAATAGCTATATACATGTGTACATATATATATATGTAGGAATGCAAATCAGCAACAAACTGCAAAAGCCAAAACCAAGGCACCTGCTAGCATACACAAATCCAGAGCACGGAGAAACTGCATCCCACAGCATCGGAATGTCTGCCAAGAATGGGCATATGACCATTCGAACCCTATGTGTTCGATCTGAATTCATGCGCCACTACTCAAAGGGAAGGTACAAACACTGCCCATGAGTGAGCCAAATTCAACATAGTCTCTTCTCATGTCTTAGCGCCACACGTCCCAGACTTCCCCGTTCCCCATTGACAGACACACCCAAGAAATATGAGTGGTGAGGATTGTTCAATGTCTTCCCTCCTGATTTTAATATGCATATGGCCCCTGCAAAACCTCCGGCGCAGAACAAGATGCCAAATGCGCAGGAGCTTGCCTCCGCAGCTCTTGCTATTCCGCTTGTTGTAAGTTACAAGTGAAACCTTGCTCAAGAAAGAGAACACGCCCCTTCCCCAAGTTTCCCCAAGGCAAAACACCACTGCCGCAAACCCTTCCGCGATTGGTGCGGCAGGCGCGCCCAAAATCGCCAAAAAAAACCTCGATCTGTGGCCCAGGCCCCGCGCGGCTGGGGTACATCCTGACAGCGATGGACTAGGTGTGGCTGGCTCCTTTTGGGTCCACAGAGATAAGAGAATTTGCGAAAAGGATCGATCCATGAATTCATGACTGAAACAAGACCAAGCTTCCCAGGATCCTGCAATTCGTGGCCAACTGGAACTGCAGCTTTGACTGACGGAATTTTGGACCTTGATCCATGGACAAGTTCCCCAACTTTGAATCCCACTACTGTACAGCGCGACTTGGACTTGTGCATTTCATCTCCCTCTGAAACAGGCTGGGCACACATCAAAAGGTCGTTGAAATGAAAGCGACATTCAATAACAAGGGGGGGGTGCCCATTGTAGTCAATGGTCCTCGCGTCCATAACGGTTCATAGGCCCACAGCTGTTGCAAGGTGTGGGCTGTTGCTCAGCACATCCGCGGCCATTCACGGCTCAGTTCCGGAGTCCCGAGGGAAAAACCCGCTGCTTGTTGCCACGTGTGGCTGTCTGGGCTGAGCTATTGGGAAGCCCCTGGCCCCAGCACCTGTAAACCAAGCACGGCTACCCAAGCGCACATCCGGAAACCATGTTCCAACCTGACGTTCCCGGAATCCGGTGGAGGTTTCGAACTAAGCATCGACCGCAAGCTTCGCGAACTCAAGCAGGATCTCTGATAATTTAAGAACGCAATTGATCAGACACGAGCCATGCCATCAATTTGCGAATTTTACTCTACTTCCAAAAGCTGAATTAAGGGATCCCCAAGTATTTGGTGAGCTCGATATACCCCCAGGTGAGCTCGCTGATAAAATAAACAGATCAAGCCAGCAAAACCACTCCTGCCTCCGCCCTGGAGGTGGCCCGGATGGTGGGCGATGGCCTGGCCGAGGTTGGAGCCAAGCTTCGCAACACGAGCCGCGAAGTGCCTACGCACGCCTACGCGGCTGTGGCCTTGTCCGTCAAACTACACGACATGTAAACATGTCGCCGCGAAGATGTGGTTCTTCGTCCCCAAAAAACACCGCCGCCCATGTGTAGTTTGCTGGCCCCTTCTTTGTGCTCCTCCTTGCTGTCAATGCTTGTCCTTTACCGCCTTCCTGCTTGCTGCTGCCGCTGAAACCGCCGCTGCCGTGACCAAGCTATAGCCGCAGCCGGTTTTCGCAGCATCCTTCATCCTTTGGCCAGAGCTCGAGCAGTTCAACACCCAGCCTGCACGATGCGATGTGAATCCAGTTTTGCCCGGCGTGGCCAGACTTGCCGAACGTCCAAACGCCATTGGGACTTTAAAGTTCCAACGAGCGCATGATGGAACGATGCGGGGATGTCCCAGCTTCACGAAGTGTTGTGGCTGCAGCTGAAGAGTGATACATTGGAAATATGTAAGGGCACCGTGGACCGTAACTTCTGCGCAAGCCCCGAAAGCCCTTCCTTACATGTTGGGTTGGTGGTTTCACTCATGAACCCAACGCAACGAAAACCAAAAGCCCTGGGGTGTGTGTGTGTGTATACACATGTTCGCTGGGAACCCTACGTTTGCCCGCCGCCTGCAGCCCGTGCAGGAATTCGGCCGCTGCGGTCCACTTTTCCTTAGGATTCCACCTGCTTGCCCGGATCTTCACCATAGAGCCACTGAGCTTTGTCATAACTGAGATTGATACGATGCCCTCACTGCACGCTAGCCTATACATCTCAGCCGCACGCAAAACAGAGAACACGCCTGCCTCGCGAAGCAAAGCTGCGGAGGACTGAGCGGCAACTGACTTCCTGGCCTTTTGCTTCCAACCTCCGCCCAAAGCACCAAACCGCCGAGTGACCCGCTTCACAGCCCCGAGCAAATTCTCTGCCACGTTATCCCCAGCAGCGTGAAGCGCTTCTTGCAGCTCTTGACTGCTGCGTGCTTGGACTTCGCCTTCTTCTCTAGCCAGGTGAACAGGCGCTGCGCATGCTTGTCGCCCGACAGGTGTGCCTTCTCGGCGGCATTGGCAGCACCGCACCATCTCCTGCCAAGATGGATTTCTTTCCCATGGCAGCTGTGATTGGCGGTGTCACTTCCTGCGCTGTCTCCGGACCAAGTCTTCCCGGTGGCTCTGTTGCGGAGGCCCCGGCAAAGCCATCTGCGCGCAAACCGACCCACATGGCCAAGGGCGCCCGTAGTTGGCAGTGCGGCTGCACGAAGTTGGACCACGCGAGGCAGAGCTTGAGGAGTGGTCCCCCACTTTGTGACAGGCCGCCTTCCAGCTGTCACCGGGGCGACGGCACATGTGAGCTGCGCTGTCATTTGGCAGCTTGCAGCCGAGACAGTAGGCAGCCCTCAGCAAAGCTTGGAAATCTTGCTGAGTTCCACCGACACCGCGAAGGACATGCTTTCCCACCGCTGCTGCACCGGAAGCCGCTCTTTGCTAGGATGTCGCTATTGCACTTCGCACTTGAACGTAGCCGCGTGCTCATCGCGGGGCAAAACCCCACGCTTGACCAGGAAGCTCTTCGCATCTTGTGACATTCGCAGTATCTCCTCAAAGGAAGGCTGGTCAACATCTTTCAGGGCTTCGGCTTCTGCCCAGAGTAGGTGAGGCCGTGCTTGACTTTGAAAGCGCGACTGGCACGCTCTTTGTAGCCCCATTTCTTTGGCTGCGCAGGCTGGACCTTCTTTTGTTAAGGGCGGCATCTACTCCTTGAGAATTTTGAATCTGGCACAGTTGACGCGGGGTGGTCTGGGAGGCACCTCAGTCTGCTGTTGGCTTGGGGCAGGCTGAAAGCGGTGCCAGTGCTGATCTCGCCACTGGCGTAATTTTGTGGAGCCTATCCGACGAAGGCGGCCGCAGAAGTAGGCTCCGTGCTGGCGAACTGGAGAGGCTGGCAGCCGAAGCGGTCACCGGGAGAGCAGTTGCAGCGGGCGAAGGCGTGGCCTCTCGCAGCCAACCAGCTCTGTGCTGTCTTGCCCACTGCACCCAAGCGCAGGCAAAGAGCTGTCGCCGGAGTTGTTGGATCAAAGAAACAAAACCCCCCATCCTAAACCGTGAGTTGCAGGGTCTTCCCCCCCCCCGAAACCCGAACCCCCCCCCCATCCTAAACTGTGAGTTGCAGGTCTTCCCCCCCACCCCGAAACCCGAAACCCCCCATCCTAAACTGTGAGTTGCATTCCCCCCCACCCCGAAATCCGAAATTGCAGGTCTTCCCCCCCCCCCACCCCAAAACCCGAAACCCCCCCATCCTAAACTGTGAGTTGCAGGTCTTCCCCCCACCCCGAAACCCGAAACCCCCCCATCCTAAACTGTGAGTTGCAGGTCTTCCCCCACCCCGAAACCCGAAACCCCCCATCCTAAACTGTGAGTTGCAGGTCTTCCCCCCCAACCCGAAACCCCAAACCCCCCATCCTAAACTGTGAGTTGCAGATCTTCCCCCCCACCCCGAAACCCGAAACCCCCCCATCCTAAACTGTGAGTTGCAGGTCTTCCCCCCCACCCCGAAACCCGAAACCCCCCCATCCTAAACTGTGAGGTGCAGTCTCCCCTCAGAAGCCAAAAGCTCCCCATCCTAAAGCATGAGTTGCCCCAAAGCCAAGTCACTTCGCAAGCGTGCCAGAGTGATACAGACTGGCAGCCTGCATAACCTGCGCCTTCTCCGTAGGGTCAAGGTACACTTGCACCCAGCACCGTGCGGGGTAGAGCCCTTGACGATTAAACTCTCAGAAAACCTCATGCATGGATCACAAGAACGTCACGCCCGTTCGCCCAACATGGACCCTAGGCCCCGGAGCCTAGCTGACAAAAACCTCACGTCTGTGCGGCAATATGGACCCTAGGTCACAAAAACCTCGCGCCTGTGCGGCAATATGTATCCCAGGTCACAAAAACCTCACGCCTGTCACAAGGTGGGCGAACGAAGGGGTCCCTGGGTCCCTGGGAACATGTTCGGCTGATTGCAAACAAGCAGGACATGGAGTCAAAGTCGCTCCGACAACGCGCCCAGAGCTGAAAACGCTCCAAACACCTGCCCCGAAAATGAGTCCCACAATTGGCGCACTCGCAAATGTGTTGAACTGGTTGTTTGACGACAGTTGTCTTTTTGTGGGACGGTTTTAGCGGCGACTGCAAAAACAATTAGACAAGCAATAAGGAGGGACACAACGCAGTTCTGGCTGATGTGGTGTAGCAGCAAGGCAAGAAGCATTGTACTGACAGCCCGTCTCACACCAACAAATCAACAAGTCAGCAAAAACAGACTCAATAAGAGAAGCGATGGCATTTCAACAAAACCAATTCATATCAGACAACGACCCGAACCCAAAGTAGAAAAATCCAACCTGCCAGGCACCCGCTCACCCGCTGGCCTGGATAGAGAGCCTCAAGCTGATGGACATGATGAATCACTCGAAAAACCGGGAGCACAGCGCTGGATGTTGCCAATACTTTGATAGTCACGGATGGGATGAATGAACTATGAACCTCAAGCCGTTCCAGACTTGCCTCCAGCAAACCCAAATGACGCAAGAAATGACGCTGGACACATTTTCAGGCATCAAGGGCCGTGTCGGCACCACTCATTGGCAAAGTTTCTCAATAGCACTGAGCAAGAAACCTACAGCGCGTGCTGGGTGCGCATGCCGAGCCCAGCTTCTTAGGAAGAAAACTCAACTTCTCGCACGCACCCGCAGGGGCATCAGCAAGTTGTGGTTAAGGTAATTGTCGAATCGAAAGCCGTGAACGTTGCGCAACAGCTTGAAGAAGCATGTATTGCCGCATGCAAAGCGTGCTACTTGACCTGAAAGATGTGGCACGTGCTATATACCGAGATTGATTAATTTAGTTGCAATACATGTATGCACATGCGCGAAAGCATTCCCACCAAACCCCCGATCTAAATGTAGAAACGCATGCTGTGACAGTGGGCTATGTCCGCATGACTGGGCACCTGGCCTCCATTGGCCTGAGGCGCGACGTTTTGGGCGGCTTCATGTCGGTGGGGCAAAACCCACTCCGAACACCCCCAAAGGATTCGCGTATGGACCAAACAAAAGGAAGGTGGCCAAAAAGGGTGGGTTTTGACCCACACCCATATGAAGCCGGACGGTTCTTCTACGTGTGCTGAAGCTCATCCCGAAAAAGTCAAAGCCAACAAAGGCCATGCGAAAGTGACATGCCCAAGCCCGCTGGCAGGAGGAAACGGGCAAGAACGCGTCCACAACCCGACCAACATGGGGAACTTGTCAGCATATTTGATCCGCTGAAGTGACTTTTCAAGAATATTGTCCAAGGGGCGTTGCTCGACTTGTTGAATCTGGAGAGGTCCAGGCTCTCTTTTTGTTGCATTCATGACTGTATAATTTACACAAGGCATGCGCGGGTTAAGAATTTAGAACATGGCACATGTGCTCCTGACTTGAGATGACATATCCAGCTGCATCTCAATGCTTTCTGCCCTGAGTTTCTTTGCTCCAATCTCTAACCCCAGGTTGGCATCTGCGATGTGTATGTGCACATGAGCTTCTGGGGTGCCAGAGCTAGCCACCTGAGCAAAGAAGAACGAGTGGCTTGCAACTTTCCACCTGACCCGCGGACCTTGGTGCGCGGTCGATATCGTCTCAACGTGATATCACGTCTTCTTGGCAAACCAAGTCCTCTGTACTATCTATCTGCGTCGCTCTGCGCGCTGTCTCTTTGTGCAAGAAGCAGGCGATCTTGCTGGAAGAACCCTTCGCAATGCTCTCGGGCAAAATCGAACAGGGGCAAAGCAAATGTAGCCTTGTGGGGAAACCCAGGCCCAGAAACAGCATGAGCAGGTGCACACATCGTCCCAGTCTTTGCTTTCTCACTCATCTAAAGCCAACTTCGTTGGTCAATCGACTACAGACACCGGCCTGACCCTCTGCTTCTAGTTGGTCGCATTGTGCCTTTGCATCAGGAACATGTGCCTACCGTATTGACAGTTCGCGTGAGCCTGGAGGAAACGCCCACCCACAGGGTGCCCCCCCCCCCCCGTCCCTCCTCCCTCCGCTTGCCTGCACGTCGTCTCCCTGAAAGCGCAACTCTCTCCCAGGCAAGAGCCTCCAAGTTGAATACCGTCAAACTCACGAGAATGCTCTACTTCGGCCGAATTGCGGAGCATGGCTAGCGACTTCTCGCGTTTGAATCTTGCGCAAGCAACCCCAACTGCGCTCGCTGGAGATCAACGCCACAACGGCCCAACCGATATTTCCACCTCGGAGTCCAGCTAAGTCTAGTGTGACCGGATATCAATGCATCCCCTCCGAGCACATAGCGAAATTGGAGGCCCCTGGTTAAAGTCGAAGCCTGGCGCCTTTGTGGGTTGATCAATATTCCTGACACCCAAATGACCATGGATGTTTTTGGTCTAATGGTCATCCCATGTCAAGCACCTTTTGATCAACCTCCATACGTTGAGAAGAAAATCCATCTTGCAAACTCAGATTGATGAAACGTTCCCATTTACGAGTAGTGGGACCTCTCCATCTTTTTCGTTGTTAGTCCCCATGTCTACCGGACCTTTCGACAGACGATCCCCGGGCCATCGCGGCCTCTGGGCCCTGGCTGCCTGACGGAGAGGGCATCGAAAGAGACAGCAACAGTGGAAAAATGGATGGCTTTTTTTCGGGTAAACGGGGCATTAAAACCAATCTTAAACCAGTGGAACCCATCTATGTTTAACCAAACTATAATCTAAAAAGGACACCTATAGCTTGATCACAAGCCGATGCCAAGTTCTGGGTGAAAATGAATAGTGATGTGTCTTCTAATCTGTACAGGCTATCAATCCAATTATAGGAGCACCACCAACGTTGCACACCCAAACATTCCCTGAGCTGGATCCACTTGGCCACACGGATACGATTTTACTAGGGGACCCTCTAAACATCATCTACATAGGCATTTATCTCCCCCAACCATGTCTAAGGATGTTCCCCCAAACGAAAAGCCATATTGCATTGCCACCTTTGCCACCTTCAACCAGCTGCCCTGTCTCGCTCCGCCTGGCAAAGAAGCTGCATGTGGGGAGTCCGCCTCAAATCGGTTTTCGGTGGGTGTCGTGAGAGTGAGCTGAGTTGAAGCAGTTTCTATCATCTCAAGCATCACCAGGAGTCTTGAACCGGTTGCAAATGAAAAGACCCGATCATGACTGAATCCTCGAACATCAAGTGCCCAAACCAACAAAGGAGATGTCCCACTCGCGCTCCTCTCAGCTTCCTCTGAGCTGTTTTGAGGTCCGGGCCAAAGTGACCGGTGCAACGTGCCTCAGACCGAAGTCACCAAAGGCAACTGAGCAACTTTGCACTGACAGGGATCACTGGATCTCCCCAAATCACAAATTGCAGTTTACTGGTGGGTTCCAACACAATTGTCATCTTTTTGAGATCCAAAAACGAGAAATGGAGGGACTGAATCATGCCCAACTCTCAATTTGGTCTTTCACTTGCGCGGATGCAAATATGCCGATTGGACAAAGCTGAAACACCATCATGAACCAGTTCCACAGTGCTGCGTGCATGGCGTTGTGTTTTGGAACACGATTGTGATCAGGTCAACTTCTGCTTGCTTGTCGTGATGCTTAGGATTGTGGAGTCGAACATGATGGGCACTGCTTTAAATGCTTTGACGAAAACATGTTTTGTGATAGCACCACCAGGACTTGATCTTTGCTTTTGTGCAGCGCATGTTATGACAAGGCAACGCGGATGCTGAAGAGCTTCGTACGTCTGGATTCTGTTTCCAATTGAACCAATCAAGCCCTTCCTGCACTTCTGTTGGAGTGAAAGGTTGCGGCGTGTTCCTCTTGGAAGCTGCACTCGCGAAGCAACCAGGCAGCCCAAGTGGCTCGTTGCTGATCATCATGGCAGACTGCACCTCGAACCGTCGCTTTCGCAAGCTGAGGTCACCCAAGAATTCCAGGCGGAAGTCCAGGGCTCACAAAGGCAACAGCTCACCATATGGGTTGTCATTTTTGGGGGTATCAATTGGGGTGGTTTGCAAGGGAAACTACAAAGAAAGTAATCATGTTGTGGGCCCCCTATTTTAAGCCACACCCAATTTGCAGATCAGCTCGAACACGGCTTTTTGCCGTCCTCTCACTTGTCACTAATATGGCGCCTGAAGGGTCCCTTGAAAAGGAAATTGATCTTCCAGGTACCCTCCCACAAATGGCATGGTAGCGAGAGAAAGGGTAAACTGCACGAGTTTGACCATTCGAAGTCGTCACCTTTTCCGAAATTCAATCCAACGAATCCCAGGACCGGACCCCTTTTCGTAACCAGCCTGCCGACGAACGGGCAAGTGGCCTCTTGGTTTTGAAGGGCTACAGCTATGAATGTGTCGCAGAAGTAATGGCCTTGAGGTTCGGCCAAGCTTCAGTTGGCCAAACTTCAAACCAAATCAACCCCTGATGTCCAAAGTCCCGCATATTTGTCCTGTGGTCAGGATTTCCTTCTGGAAGAACTCTAGAACCTCGACCGATCTCTGAAACTGACGCAAACAGCGAGAGACCCAGCGAAGGTCAAGAAATATGTGCCAAGCTGCCTCCGGAGAAAGAGGAATGCACACGAGAGTTTCTTGGTACCACATTTATGTTTCCGGTTTTGGACTTGGTAGGAGATTTCCCAAAGAGATTCCTCAAATCCGCAATGAGATACTTGGGCGACTTGGGCCCGTGTTGTTTGGCATAACTTCGACGTCTTAGTGGCTGCCGAACTTCCTTACGGAGTTGCATGCTGCAATGCCACTCTGGCCAAGAGTAACGGGGAGGCTGAGGGGATGACGGCGAAACAACAAGCTTGCATAATCGAGCTCGTAGAACAGCTTGAAGGGGGGCAAAAACCATCGCACATATTTATGGTTGACCCGTGTAAGTTGCAATCAGGCTGAAATCCAATGTTGCTGCCTTGTTGCATCCATTTAATATAGCTTCACATTGGGTTGGGCAAACACCGAGGAATCAAACGCAGTGAGAAAGAGAGTGACTGATCACGCACTGCTGTCACTGAAATGTCTGGGCAGGCAACCTCAGGCTTGAATCAGCCTGTGTCAGCCTGAGGCTGACCAAGGGCTCCAGGCAGTCAGTAGAATGTTGCGGAAAAGGTTCAGAGCCTGCCGCAGGGCGAAGTTTCTGGATCCCGATTGGTGTGGTGGAAAAGCGACCCTGTCCTTGACACCAAAGTGGTTGATTCACATGAGTACTTTGTCACCTGAAAGGGGGCAACCTAAGGCCGATAGCACGTTTGATTTACCTGGTACATACGCACACGCGCTGCGAGTACCCTCATGACCTGTACTTCATGCTGCTTCCAGTTCAAGTGTGTCACAGAAAGAAGCAGAGAAGACAAACGAAGATAAACCAAACAAGAACAAATAGCGCAACACGACACGACACGGCAAAAACCAAATCAAGCCAAATCGCGATTTAGTATGTTATACATTGATGCGCGATTGAAACAAGGGTGCTTCTTTATAAACATGTCATTGAAACAAAAAGCACAACGCTCAACTCAAAGGTACTCCTCAATGTCACAACGCGCCGGCAAGCAAGCAAAACCGTCAAACAAGGCAAAATGCTCCGTGCCTGCGCGCGTGCGCATGTGCGCACGCCACACATACATACACACATTGGGAGCCCTTGGCAACACTGACCCTGCCTCCTTCTGAGTCATGGGGTCTGGCCTGAGGCCCGCGGTCACAGCCCAAATTCAGTCTGTGACCATTCTCAAACAAATAACAGGTCACGAAATGCTTGCTTTACTTCAAGGCTAGGCAGCCCTTTCCTGAGAGTTCGATTCCAAAGCTGGCAGGGATCTTCAGAGTCGAGCTGGTTGGCAAGCAGCAAGCATCCCAAGCACCAGCGGATGTGCTGGTGAGCTCAAGATCGCGAACTGTCTCCAAGCTAAGACAAGACATACGTCACCTCCCGACTAAACTGCAAGGCAGGCAGCTCTTCTTAGATTTGGGTGTGGCTCAAAATTAAACAGGAGGGGTTACGCAGGTTTTGGTCCATGCTTCCACTTACCAGGGTTCCATTTTGGTACCAGGTTTTTGAGCCACAGCCATTTCTCTTAAGATGCATGGGCAGGGAAAGCTGGGCAAAAATAGACCGCCCAAGCCACAGGTGCCGTGCAGGCTCTGCGTGCTTGCAGGCTGCCTGTGTGTGTGCAGACCTGCTGTCTGCTCTCGTTTCAACCCATGGCTAGGTTGCGTTTCCATCAATCACTGCGTGTGTGTGCATGCTTGGGGGAAAAAAACAACGATGTGTTCAAACACTTCGCATGCTGCTTGGTTTACAGTAGCCTTTCACAAAGTCGTTTTTGACAGGGAGTCGAAGTAGCAAATCAACGTCACACATCACCCTGATACGTACGTTCAGCTAACCGCGCCAAACATTCGCAACATGTAAAAAAGTCCACACAAAATGATAGTGTTATCAAGACTCAGCTTATGATTCTATTCAAGGGAACAGCTGGGATGGCTGAGTATCTTGCCTTATCTACGGGTTCACCGATGAATCGTCATAAGCATTGTGAAAACGCCTAAAACAGATCTAGGGCTCGTGAACCGGAAGGGGATTCCCTTTTAAAGGGAGCCATAGACCGGATGTGTGCCCCGTTTTAGATGTTTGTTTCTTGGGTGCATTCCAGCTCATTCCCTGCCTATCGAGTCAGCAAGCTATTCAGCTTCCCTCTAATTGGTGGCTTGGACTGGTGGCTTGGTGGGTAAGAAGATGCTTCCCATCTGACCTCTACAAGAACAGGTGGGTTCAAATCCAAATCCAAACCAATCCAATCAAACCACCAAGGCTTACCTGAGTTCTGAATCTGGGATCTTCCAGGCGGCCAACCCCGGCAAGCCAACCGGGCCACCCCGGCAAGATGTCCACCGCTCGCTTCAGCTGCCTCGCCGCGCGCCTCGGGATCGGCCGGATCGGCCGATGGAAGGCTCTCGGCGCTCGGAAACGGACCGAAATACGGAGGGCTGCGAAATCCTGCGGAAGGCACCTAAGACAAACATGAAGTGGGTGTTGGGAGGAGTTTTATCTTAGGAGCTTTTGTCAAATGACTTGAGAAAAGAAATAAGAGCTTCTTTGGAGTTTTCTCCACAGTATCTCCCGAATTGCTACTTCGGATTCGGAAACTGACACGGTCTTCGGAAACGAAAAAAACCTTCGGCGTTCTGATTCGGCAACTACCTAGGCCTGACCTCGATTGTCAAAACTAATTGAACACCAAAACAACCTGCATTCAGAAACGCAAGTGACTTCAAGTGCATGGGGCAGGGCTTCCACCCAGAAGCACTTGACCCGAAGCTCTAGCCCCGAAAAGCCCGTCTTGGTTTCAGCTGTACCCAGCCAGCTGAACGCCACCCACCAAAACCCCCCCCGCTCGCCCCCATCCCATCCAGCCCCGTGAGGCAATAACATGGAGCAACGTGCGTTCTGTCTTGGAAAGGCCGTGCGTGGAATAAATCGGAAGCCACGTTGCAATGTCCTGACTGTGACTCTGAAGAAAACGTTGGTATTATGTATACACTTCATAGCTTCAAATAGTCAAATTGCAATTCGGCCTGGCTACTCGCCCTGCCCGCGCTGCTTCCTTCGTCCCAAGGCTCCGGCGTCTGCTTCAGCTCTGGATCCTTCCCTGGCGGAGAGTCTGGAAAGGAGGACAATTAAGGGGGCTAGCGCTTTGGGGCGTTGATACAGGTACAAATACAGGTCTACGAGTATAACAGAATGACAAAGCAAGCCACAGTTCTTCAAGAGATACCACCGGGTGGGTGGGGCAGGGCTTTCTTGACGTGTCAGAGTGCAGCTCAGGCCAGGCCTGAAGCAAATAAAAAGTTGACCCATGAGGCACGGGCCAGTAACAATGTTGTCCGATACACATCGCCATTTGTCACGGTCAATCACAAGAGTGTGGCTACGGCAAGGTGGACTGATTCAAAACGCACACCACACATACCCACACAAATGACGAACTCTTAAGGGATGAAATGCCCTACATCTTGAAGCAGGCTTCCAACAAGGCAAGGCCACCCCATCTGCACCAAGCGACACTGCAAAGTTCGCTAAATGCCACCATGCGACAGCTTCTGCGTGCACTGATTTGAAAAATCACCTGGAATTCCAAATGTTGCTTTTCCTGGCTGATGCAAAATGCTGGAACGGATATGTTAAAAGTGGTGTGGAGTGGGTGGGGTATGGAACGAATGCAGACACATATGATAAAACTTGTGTGCGATATCAAAAAAACACTGCAACAATACTAACAAAGCCAACGGCAAGACCAATTCAACAGAAACACAACTCATAAGCTAATCCAGTGTCTCCATCGCAAGGCCGACCGCGCTGCCAGGTCAAGCAAAGGAGAAGCTTCTGCTGTCTTTTGTCTGAAGAGTCACTAAGTGGGGGCAAATAGACCGTAACAAGCATCTCGTAGTTTGCCTAACCGATGCCAGGACTAGTCTCCTACATGCAAATGTCAAGGAATGACATTTACGAAACGAAAATAAACATCCATCCCAGAAAGGGGGGAGCACAGGAAAGGCCCAGACCCTAAATAAAGACTATCTTTTGCGCCCCTACACAGAGTTTGTTTACTGTTCGGCCGCATACGGAAACTCCAGGGCCAAGGCAGAAGAAAAGACAAGGCAACGGAGCGATCAACTTCAAAGTGAAAGCCCCAAGGACATCAATAGAACAACAAGTGACAAGCAATTGCCAACGTGTTGTCACTACATGCAATAAATGTAGGGCTGTTGAAAGGCAAGCGGAAAGGAAACGGACGGCAATGCCAAAGTCAACTTTAAGCGCATTCCTTGATTCGTCAAAGATAGTCACTGCCACATGTCTTGAGGAGGGAACCCATTCGTGGAAGGGTTATGGGCCATGGGGTGATTGGCTTGATGAATGATTTCCCAACCATTGGCCCCTTTCACAAACAATAAAATATGTATATACCACTGGCTTCAAGAAGGCTCAATGCGGCGGCTTCGAGTGGTCCGCATAGAAAAGCTGCCAACTCTGAGCGGCAACAAGCCCAAGGTTAACAACAGCGATGTTTTCCCAAATGCAGCAAAACCACGCAAGTAGAGGAAACAACACCTTGGACACATCATGAAATTGTACAACTGGCAGCCTCTGGATTGCGCACCTTCCGGGTCTAGCGTCAGAACCTCCGAGCCAACGAGTTTGAAGATCTCCTCGAAACGTCTGGCAGCATTGATTTGAAGGTACCTTCCTCCAATCATCGCTAACGATCGGAAGGGACTACTTTCCTTTTGGGCAACCTCCTTGCCTTTCATGTTTGCGGGGCTATGTGAAGCAAATGGAAACAGTGGTATCAAGGCAACAAGGGCTTGTTTCGTATCACCAAGTAGTGACTCTTGGAGCGTGACACAAGCCCACCATTTGACCTCAACGATGGCGGATGCTACGTGTTCATGGCCACAACAGTCCAAGCATTTGAAGTTCAGCCTGTCAGCTTTCAAAGTGATCTGTGAAGCTTGCCAGTACCAACTCTCCAGCATCGGGAAATCAGCCGAACACACACACACACACATACAAAGCACGAAACTCAGGTCAAAGCAAAGATCCTGATCTTTGCCCCTTTCGCAAGCAAGTTAAACTCAATCGTAGCCTTTGAGTCAACGGTCAACCCCTCAGAAGGATGTAAATCACACAAACCAACAAACACATCCAACTTGGCGCACCAATCCCCACGAGTCGAAACATGTGCAGGACTTGATCAGGGTGTTACCTTCCTGGAAGCCTTACGCTCAGTCCATCAAGTCACAAAACAACTTGCACACTTGACCCATACCCAAAATTAAACTACCACTGGACCGCAGGTTTTAGTCCTTTTTTCCATTTAACAGGGTTCAATTTTTGTGGTACCTATTTTTGACCCACAGCCACTTTACTTTTCCCCATTTCGAAGCGGTTGCTTGGCGATTTCGTGGATTTGTTCCGTCTTTTTCAGGGTCCTCCAAAACCAGCTGCTTCTCCACCAGCGAGCCGCTGGGCGCGCAATTCTGCCAAAGCTTGCCAAAGGCCTGGCGCCGTCCATCCGCGGGTCACTTTCCACCTCCGCCCCAGCCCTCAAGCGCCTAAACCAGCCCCAAACCAACTCCAGATCAACTCTAAAGCAACCACCTAAACCAACCTAAGCCAGCCATAAACCAACCTAAAACCAGCCCTGAACCAACCCTAGGCCCAAGCCAAGACCCACACCAACCCTGAACCCAGCCTGTCCCAGCCCGGAAAAGCAACCACTGTGTAAACCCAAACTAAACAAAACCAAACCAAGAACCAAACATGTACCAAACCCCCGCCCCCCCCCCCCCCCCCCCAACTCCACAGGGAGGGACGGGGGGGGGAGGGCCTGCAAACCTGAGTATGGTCCCGATTTCTCATGGAAACGTATTTGACCAACTCATCATAAGCAAGGCAAACACTTGCTGGTGCGATAGAGGATGAGGGAATGACCCCCTTATAAACCGCCCAACTGGTGGTTCCTTTCAGGGGACCCCTGGGATCATTCCCTCATTCCCTGCCTATCGCAGCAGCAAGAACATTTCACTGGCAGGTCGGTTTCGCTGGGAGCTGGCTAGAGTCGATTTCGGGTCGTCTTGGGCTTTAGAGTTGGCTCGGGCCGGGTATGGGGTCGGCTTCTTTCCGGCTTCGGTTTCTTGGGCCCGTCTGGGAGGTGGACAAGGGGATCCGACGAACCGTCGGACCTATGCACAAATGTACATGTTGAGGTAGAAGACAAGATGGGTAAGTAAGCAGTACTTTGTTTCCCATGGAAACGCATGAAATCAACTCCACAGTACAGCAAGGAGGTGAAATCTTTGTCACTCTAGCTTATGATGTCACCAGGCCTTGAGCCAATGGTAATGGACAATCGCACATGAGTGGATGTGTGGAATCCCCCCCACCTCCCCCACCCCTCAGCTGCAGCAGGATGTTTGCCAGATTCCCACCCCACCCCACCTCACCAGGGAGGATGTGTGTGAGCACCCCCCCCAGCAGTGTTCAATCCGGACAAACCCCCGCCCCGAATAGACCTAACATGTTGCTCAACATTTCGTGGGCTGCTAAACACTAAGAATCATTCAAAGACTCTTACCCCTCTCCTATGGCTTGCAAATGAACGACAGGTTCAAGATGGTCCAAGTCTACAAGTTTCAGAGATATACTTAGCCTTTGCTTTCTAAACTCAAACAAGTCGGGCAGCATTCGCTTTAACCCCAATTCAGCAGGTAGGTCTTGGAGTCGGTGTGGGCAAATTGCAGTGGACATTCGTGATTTCCTCTTGAGCCTTCAGCGGTTCGGGTCGTTTTGCCCAAGCCAATACCCATGTTAAGCAACGCCCGCCTGCTCGAGGCGTGAGGGCTCTGAGAGGAGCCAGTGGACCTGCCTAGGAAAGACTCGCAGAGGGTGTACATGCACCGAGTTGACTAATCAACCCCAGATTATTAATCCCAGGGTGTCCAACTGGGTGAAATGTGGGGAATCAGACCACTTTTGGAGAGGCCCTCACCCCCATATTAACAAACTGGGGTTGATTACTATGGGGTCAACATTCATAGGCTTGGAGCGTTGGGGCGCTAGACACAAATGATGAAACCTGAAAGGGAAGTGTTTGCAGCTAAATTCGAGAAAACTTACGGGCCCGCGTAGCGCCATTGTGTCCACCAAAAACAAAAAGGCGGGGAGTACAAGCCGAAGTTCTGGCCATGCCAGGAAAGCGTTCAAGCAATGCGAGGAATGCCTTAACGGTAAATCCTAAAGACACAAAACCTTTCTAGCAAGAATCGAACTAAATAAGTACCGGCATGTAAACTTGTAAAGCAATGTAAAGTATACGTAGACGCACACAAGCATTATCTGCTCTAACCTGCGCTGGCTCTGCAGCTTGATATGGGTGATTCGAAATCTTGTCTACTAACATGCCTGTTCATGTCCGCTGTACTGCGCCAAACACCTCACTGAGAATTGTTTGTGAACGAAGCCACAATCGAACTCTGTGGCCTGGGCTGAACCCATCTCAAGCGCTCACCGTTCTGGCTTCGGTTTACTAGAGCACCCGTTAGAGTCGTCTGCCTGAGTGAATGTTATATACGCAAATGGAAGAGGAAAAAACCCACTGATCCTCTAGAAACTCACTGCAGCAGGTTCATTGTGGAACTCTGCCAAGCACGCTGCTCGGATTCAGAGCTTGGATTTTGGGCTGGATGATCCTCTGCGTTCACAAAATGTTGGCAGTTCATGAAGCCACCAGTTTAAATGGGTGTCTCTTTCTTGAAGGCACCCTTGTTTGAGTGGTTTCAACTGGACACCAAAAAGAAAACCGCACTCTTAACAAAGACGAACCCACATGAAAAGTCCCCCTCCACGAAATCATGTGCGATCCTGAAAGGCTCATCTCGAACGCGCCATCCACCCAAACCAACACATGGCTTGTCTTTGTTTGATGCTCTTCTTTCGGGTTGGCTTGCGGGCTCGAAGAGAATCCAAAAGAAACCTCGTCCATTCCATGGGTCCATTGAACCAACCATCGGAATGGAACCCGCTCCAAAATTCCGAGAGAAACGCGCCTCTGGCCCAGAGAGCTCTCCGAGCTGCCGGTGACCTCGTTGCGCTGAAATCCATGCGGCTCGAAGAGTTACAAGCCTCGAGTGAAGAGGGTTTCCGTGACTGGGAGAATACAAAGGACATATATCTCTGCAAGCGATGCTACCATGGGAAAAATGGTTTCGGAGAGTAGGAACCGAGGTCTACCTCACAATAAAACACACAAATCTCGATAAAAACCTTAAAAGGAAAGGGCTTGCATTGTATTGGTCCCTGAAAGGGATGACCTCCGGCCTCGCTTGCTTGTTTTATGGCAGAAATTGGTGGGTAAGCCAACCAGCAAACCACCAATCACAGCACCGAGCAGACCCGGCCCCGGCACCCGGCAAAAGCTTGACCGCGAAGGTGTATCAATGACTCGATGCATCTCTTTATTTGGGTGTGTCTTTTTTTGAAGGTACCTCGTTTCGTGGTTTTGAAGGGAACCCAACAGGGTTTTGGGTGATCCCCTGAAAAAAAAAAAACACCCATTCACAACGACCTGCGCTACAGGGGACTTTTGCTCCAGGAGCATTCGGCTATCTACTGGATACATCCGGGCCCCGAACCTCCCAGCTGAGAGGCCGACCCCCATGGCTTCGGCGCGGGGGAAATCATCCACCGAGAGCTTGCGCTCAGCTCTCGAATTCGCTCGCCAAAGCTGGGCTAGATGTTGTCATGTTGGGCATGTGTCTTGCTGCTTTCGGTCGTCAAGCACGGGCAAAAGGCTTTTTTTAGGCACCCAGCCTGCAAGATATTGATTGGTGGATGTCACTGACACGTTGATGGACGATGGCCCCATTGATTTGCAATCCGAAGGCTGTGTTGAAGTGTCCTCGTCTGGCCCATTGCAAGGAAACATGCGAATATGTACTACGTATACAAGGTCTACAGTGCTACAGTGCTGGTCAATGTTGCAAAACTTACCGGCTAGAAAAGAGATTCCAACTGCTCACAGAACAAAGGCTATGTCAAAAGCAATGCCTGGCGTTGGTTTCTGTTGCAAGAGTAACCACATCAAGTCGTTCCGGAAAAAAGGGGACCAAGCATGTTTGATCCATGATGGTTTAAAAAAAAAAAAAAATCAGAGCTCATCAGAAAGCAACCTGTGCTGAGCCAGATTTCAAGAAGTCGGAAGCGGCAGCCGAGCCAATGAAGCCCATGACCAGCCAAACGATCAGAAGGGAGGACATCTGAGATCAGGCGCAGCAAGGTCAAGAGTCCAATGCGAACATTGATCACCTGACAACCCAGCCACTGCCGAGCAGTAGCTATGAATACGTCTCCCACGGCATTGAATCCAAGTCTAACATGGCTTGACTTGGTATTTGCATAGCTTGCTTAGCACCTGCAATTGCGCCCAGCGGAACAGATCACAGCGCAGGTAGCCGCAAGTACCAAATGGCACATTCTGCTGCGCACTCGGTGACATGTACTGCACATTTTGTTGGACTAGCAAATCCATGTTTGTTTCGCAAACAACATGTGCCTCTATATGGCACTCATGCGCAATATGATGATATTCAAACAAAAACAAGCGTGTTCCTGCTCCAGGGGAAAGCAGATGGCTGTGCAAGGCATCGCCTGAATATGCCAATCGCTACAAGCTGATGGAAACACTTTGAGGCTGTCTTCATGTCTTCATCCAAAAACGCAAAGTGGAACCTGACAGCAGGTCTCGTCCAAAGGAACATCGTCATTCGCCTCGTTCCAGCGTTTGTTGCTGACAGGGTAAGTCGTTGTGGCCTCGCAGGGTCGTCCGCGTGGCAAGGGTTCGAGGTCTGCGCCATGCCTCATCTGGCCTGATGCTTGGGGCCGAGCTATACCAGGAGACCTGACCTCTAGCGATTCCATGAGGTGAGACGTTGCACAATGGAGCAGCCTCGCGTTTGCAAGCAATTTCCCATGAGTAGCTTGGTGACAACTGACAATTCTGTCTCAGCGACCAACTCTTAAGAACCGGACATTTTCGACCCAACGCTGGTACTGCAATTGTGCTTGATTCCGGTCAAGAGTTTCCAGCAGTGGTATGTGGGTCTGAGGGACAAGGGCCAAACAATTTTGTCAAAATGCCTCGACGCATCCTTCACTGGTCAATGTGAATATAAAAGGTTGCCTTGGCAAAACCTCAAAGGCTTCTATGAAACTGTCTTATGAGGCTACCGTTCTTTCCATTTTCCCGCAATCTTCATTTTGTCCCATAGGCCTCTGGTAGTTTTCCTGGATTCTGTGGGCCATGGTCAGTTGGTTACTGATTTTGGCGTCCGGTGCAGATCAACTGCCTGCAGTCTTTTTTTTCGGGGAATCGTGATGTCTGTTCAAAGGCTCACCTGTCCTTTTTGCCATCGTTTTGTCGCCCTCCCACCCGGTTTGCATCGGAATTCCATTCTCCAGCTTCAGGGGCGTGCCTTTGCATTTCATGTGGGCTTTGGTAATTTGGGCCATGAGGTGCTAATGCATTCTGAAATGTGCGGGTTTGGATTCCTTGCTCTGTGCATTTCCACCTAGTCAACACATGACTGCCTTGATGTGGCGGCCTGAGTCAACCGACAAGGAAAATCTGAAGGCGAATCAACGCTGATGAGTTCTGTGTCAAGAGTCAAGACAGAACTCACGAAAAAAATCACCGTTCAGAGGACTATCCTGCGAAGCGAACGGCGTTCCGCGCTTCAATCTGTCTCGTGTCTTGCATCCCCTGCCTGCCCAGATCCACCCCCGCCAGCATCTCCACCAGGAATGCTGCCGCCTCAGCATGTAGGCCGTCACAGACTCGTCTGGCGAGCATTGCCGGCAAAAGCTTGGATGAGCAAGACTCAGGTAGCTACCATGTTGACCAGCTCAAGACTTAGGTTAATCCGCAGAAGTCTTACACTACTTCAGATGATACCTTCTGGAAGCGAATTGGGTAGCTCTGGCCAAAGTATGTCTATCACCCATATAAGGCAGAGCACCCTCAGGGCACCTATGCTGTTGGGCTGCTGCGTTCGGCGGAACTGTGCCAACATCTGATACTTCGATTCCCAAATTGTTCTAGCGCGTCCCTGACAACCTTATGGACTAGCCCGCGCGTTGACACCCCCTGACCCAGTTGGTCCAACAACCAAGCATACCAACTTCAAACAGAAATCAGCCACTGCATATCGTTCAAACACCACTGAAGGCAAGGCTGCTCTTTCCGGCCGCTTCCTGTTGCAAGCCTCTTTCTGAGGACGTTTGCCCCCCTCCATCCTACTTCTGCGCGGCTGGACACGCATTCATGTGTCCAGGCCCCTGCAGTTCCTTGTGCCCAGAACGCAGCTGAAGTAGTAGCTGTGGCCCTTGGATAGTGCCCTAGCCCAGCAGCTTCCCCACGCCTGTCCCTGGAGTGAGAACGGGGATCAAAGGCAGCCTGTGAATCAAATTGCCGCTGGGCGCGAGGCGTTTACACTAGCCCAAAGAACATGGACAATCCAGTAACCCCTCAATCTCCCCAAATCAAGTGTCGATCCATTTCCCGGTGGCTTCCCCCTGAAACGAACGATCCCCACCCCACTGGAAGTCCCCAAAAAACGGCGAAAAGTTGTGCAAACGAGACCAAACAAGCTCGAACGAGAAGGACAGGCGAGACCAAAACCTCCTCTCGTTCGATCCTGGGGAGACCATCTTGGTGCAAACTCGACCAAACGATCCATTTCCCGGTGGCTTCTCTTTGGAAGTCCCAACCACCCACGTCTGGCAGTCCACCAAAAAAAAAAATGGCACGAGTCGGGCCACAAACGCCTCCTCTCCGCTCCGGGCCCCAGGCTCTCCGATCCGGGCCGCAGGCTTGGCGCCTGGCGACCAGAGCTGCGACGTCCCGTGGTCCGGGTGGACATGTGCGGGTGGGTGGGTGGGTGGTAGGGAAATGCTCAAGGACCCCAAACTGAAGCAAGTTTGAGATCTGTGCTTTGACCCTACATGGCTGACTGGGAGCCTGGGGTCCAAGTGCAAGATGTGAGAATGGAATGGTGAGGAGAGTGGAAGCGCAACTCGAATTCTGGAAGGGCTGCTCCAAGCGGAATACAATCGCCAGGTGGCCATGGGTCAAAAGCCCGTACCCCCAATCCCCACTAAAATAGACGAAAATGGGCGCTGCACCTACCCCACAATGGTACCATTGGTTTTGACCCACAGCCAGGTCCTCACAACTCCCAGGACTCCTGGAACAAGTGTGCAATCCCAGAAGCTACGTGGGGTTGCCTTATCGGCATGAGCTAGTTGAGGAGCACAACTGTGGACAAAGCCGTTTGCTGGGGCAAGGGGTACTGAGAGTTCAGGGGACACACGTTTTGGGTTTCCGCCACTGCTGTACTTCCTCCAAGTTCCATAAACTGGGGGTCCCCTCAAAAGAAAATTGATCTTCCAAGAACCGTCCCGCAAATACCAATCCAGTGGGAAGAAGAGTAGTTACCGCCAGTACTGCTTAAAACCAGTGCCACGGTACCAGTAATTTCCACACATGATTGCTGAGGCCGAATTTGTTTCAAAGCCATCCGTGGATCTTCGTAAACATGGGGTGTTTCATTTCATGTGTCAACTAACCTTCTCTCTTCGGCCTTTGCAAAACGACCTGCATCTGACAGCTTGACTTTCCCAACCCAGTGTCGGGTGTGTCCGGTTTGGCCACCAAACCCTGGCCGTGAGCCAAGGTACCAGGGGTCAATTCACAGATTTGCACTTTTTCTGAACACCCCATCTCTGCTCGTTCAACAGGCTTGGACTCCCAAAGCGAACAAAACCCTTCCCCTCCTTTGCATGGAATGTGCATCATGTATCCACATCAAAAGCTTCAAGTTTAGGACACATTGCGCGGATTTTCGGTCAAATGCGAGGGCGGGGCACATTTCATGCATGCGAAGTCTATAGATGAGTGAATGGTGACGTGCTACACGTGTCCAGAACATTGCAAGTAACGGGCCACGCCCTTGCTCCTGAAGTTGCGAGGATGCTCCCAATGCTTTTAAGATTTTACGCCCTACACCCAATACCTGCTTTTTGTTTAGGGTATGATGTCCACCCTTTTATCACAAAAGGAGGTATTCACCCTGGAAAGCCATTTTTCAAAAAAAAGATGGGAGTAGGGGGGAAGCAAGCAGGCCACTTTTCGGATGTGCCGAAGATGGAACATCCAAACTAAAGCCTTAATTAAGGTGCTGAACAAGTACCGAGGATCCGAGCAGCAAAAACGCATCGGAGGAACACTGGGCAAATGGTTGAGGAAGGATCCCAACGCAGAAAACTTCTTCAAACAGGCAAATCTAACATAAACGTAAAACCATGCGTTGTTTCGAACACAACATGGAGCATGTTTTCGCGGCATATCAGAAGACTCTAGGATTACCTTCCCCATTCTTTCCAGGGATTCTTGTCTTTTAAGGAAACCCCCAAAAAAAAAGGGGGAAACAGCCGGTTCTTGAAAAGAAGGATGGTTGAAAAGAATGGAAAATCCACCCCTCGAAAAGCCTCCGACTCACCGAGGGAAGGTTCGCTCCTCGCAACCCGTCTGAACGAGCCTCGGCGGAGGTCGGCACCTCGCTAAGGCCCCCACGTGGTTGGTCTCCGTTGGGTCTCCCTTCAAAGAAAAAATACACAGAATTTCCCTTAAAAAAAAACGTAACGGGTGCCCACCATCTTGAGAAACACTCATTCCAAATCAAATGCCGTGAAACAGCTGAGTAGCGCAAACAGTAGAGGTTGGACAAAGCAGTTGCACCGCTTGCAACCAGAGCTGAAGCTAAGGCTTCGTGGACTTGGTGCGGGAGTGCTTGAAATTGCCGCCGCCCAGTTCAATCGTCCCAGGTGGGTTTAGGCCAAGGCCTGGAGGCCAGCTGTAGCGACAGCATGCAGCAAACAAGCCTATCCGCCGAGAATTCGGACACATGGCTGTGGTTGTCAAAACCAATGGGATCCCATTTTGGGGCAGGTGCACCATTTTGGTCTATTCTAGTGGGGATTGGGATGTTCACTGAAGAACGGAATTTTGACCCATGGCCACATGACTCAAGCAGAACAGGGACACAAACCTCAGTCGTACATTGGCCTAAATGGAGACACCCCTTAACTTTGACCCCCCAAGTTTAAAGGTTGGAGACGGGTTGGCGACGTTGCCCGCTGAGCTTGTGGCAACTTCTGACCTCACAAGCGTGCCCAGTGCATTCCACATTGGATATCCTGGCTCCACTTGCTCTGTTCATTGGGCCTTACAAGTCTTCCACTAACGAGGAGCGAACTTCCTGGCAAGTTCCATGGGCCCCACAAGTAACGCCCGACTACCATGGTCTAGGACATCAGTGGCCAATGTTGGCTTGGCTGAGTCTGGCATACTCTAGAGAAACGATTGCTTCCGTACTTGGTCAGACACCAGAAAATGGTTAAAATGCTGAAACCAAACCATAAAGTCCTCCAGACATTGGCTGGTTCTCTGAGACCTCTGTGTCTCTCTCTCTACTTGAGTGGCCTACAAGTCATCCTGCCAGCTTGAGCGGCTGTCTGGTTCAACGGAAATGATCCCTGAGGCTGATGCCCGCGTGCCAAACGCACAACCTCAAACATCGCGAATCTGTCTGCGATTTCAATTTGGGATATCGCGACACTAGTGAGCTTCTCATGCTTGGAGATGTCCAAGTTCTGCGAGATTTTATCCCAAGGCCCTCTGGCATGTTCACTCCAAACGGAGCGACTCTTCCATGAAAGTGCAACAGGAGTCCCGACGATGAGGCGGACTTCCGGCCGTACCTGAACGTGGACTCTTTCATGAGTCGAAAGGCAAGCTGTGGTTCTATAGCACACATCCCAGCTCAAGCTCCGCATGAATTTCATATTTCAGGGGCTGCTATGCTGTCGCATCTGCGAAACATCTGCTTCGGAAGAGTCGTCTCCGTCTGCAGGTTCACTCTAAGATCTCTAAGACAAAACGCTCACGATCGCAGAACAACAAACATGGCTGACAAGCTGGGAAATCAAGCGCCCTCGGCGCAGAATGCAATTGCAGTGCATGACATATAACATCTGAAACGAAGAATTTGGTATCGAAATCATAATCTTGCGACTCCAGGACCATTGTATTTGATCATTTCACAACCATACAATCACACTGATCCATTGTAGCTGCGGTTACTTGTTCTTGTCTCGAAAGCCGTTCCAAAGCTGCGTCTCAGTTGCATTTTGATACTCGGCCGGTTGAAGCCACTGGCTGCCCTACCCCATGCTTCTGCCACTTTCTGCCCATGTTCCAAATCACTCCGAGGCAAAGACGATGCCCCATCCTATCGCCAGATTGATAGCAAGACAAACATTGTGAGCTCAAAGAGCCAATCTCATTGCTTTGTCAGATGTCAGGTGCATCCAAGGATGGGTACCTATCCTAGTCCAAGAATAAGTCCACCGCAGCCCTGCGCACGAGGCGAGCTCGCCCATGATTTGGGCAAACTCACGTTCCACGGCCTCGGCGAGGGCCCAAATACAGTTGTTCTCGGACTGTTCTCCTGTTCGGGCATAAGCAACGCACAAGTAAATGTGCATACTGCATAAACATTGACTTGATGATGACAACTACAAACACCAACTCAGAGAGGCTGACAATTTTTAGACAGCCACACTCGATAGCTTGCCTCCCAAGCAGCAAACTGCATTCACTACATCAAACATGACTATGGGGTCAATACTGCCATCTTGCTCTGGATGCCCTCTTCCTGCCTGTTCTTGCTGCAGCCAAATTTCTTGGATTTGTCAGCTATTTCAGAAGAATTTGAAGCATCTTTTAAACGCATGCAATGGCGCCAGACATACTGTTACCCAGGCTTGGTTAACGATTGGCCACAACAAAATGATTCAAACAGCAAACTTGGGCAATGCAACGCCCAAGCACGGCCGGTAAACCTACATCATCATCATCATCATCATCATCATCATCATCATCATCATCATCATCATCATCATCATCATCATCATCATCATCATCATCATCATCATCATCATCGTCATGATCATCATCATCGTGATCAACATCATTATTGTCGTCGTCCTCATCATCCTCATCCTCGTCCTTCCTCCATCCTTACTCCATCCTCGGCCATGTCTCCTGCATCCTCTATCCTCCATCCTCAATCCTCAATCGTCAATCCTCAACCCGCAATCCTGAATTTGATTCAATTTTATCATGCCATCAATGATCAATCCGTCAGATCACCATCAATTCAACATTGGCGAAACATCTCCAATTCATCAGCATCATCATCGTCCTCGTCGTCTACGACCCGTCGCTCAACGGCTTCATCGATGTCGGCAGCAGCAGCAGCAGCAGCAGCAGCAGCAGCAGCCGGCGGCGGCCGCCAAAGCCAGGGCAAGAATACATAGCCGCTTGCAGCACAAACCAAAGTCAAACAGAGCATGTCCTGAACGAAGAGCTGTGAACTGAGAATCCAAACAAACACCCGGTGCCTCAATCTTGTCTCTGGCCAGCAGTAGATGCTTTGTCACCTGCACCGGCATTCCCATGTTGGTTCAAGATTTGACGCACAACTGGAATGGGGCTGAGCACCTTTTGCCCCTCAACTCAACGGCACGATGAAGGTTGTGGATAAATTCCTTCAGAAGTGAATGGGTGTTCCTTTGCAAGGTGCGGGGAAAAGAGGGACTGCATTGCGCAAAACTTTACTGACACACATGCTGCTTTAACTCCCTGCTCTCGGAGGGTTCGGATACGCACTCCGGTGGTGCAGTGCGCATCAAATCGGCTCGCTCTGCATCGGAATGACAATCCGCCGGCCTGAGGTCAGAGGTTTCCTTTCGGTAAAATAGATGGGTAAATGCGAAATCTAAACCAATTCAGTGGAACCCATCTATCTCCAACCAAACTAGCCGATCAAAAGGACGCCTACGGTGGATGGACGAAATCCTGCACCGCCTAAGAGCCCTCTGGAATGATGATTCTCCTGTAAATACCAACAAACAATGGTTTCCCAGAGTTCTTAAATTGTGCTGGATTTCGTCCATCCACAGTATGACTCTCTGACCATTCGCTTCCAATCCGCTGAAGCTTTGGCAGCGCCTCGTCCACCATGTCAGGATCAGGGCCCTGGGCTATCTCGGCTCCAAGAATCAGGGAATGAGAAACTGAATGACCCCGAGGAGAACCATCCAACTGCTGGTTTCCTTTAAGGGGACCAGGTTCATTCCCTGATTCCCTACTTATGGCACCAAGGAAATCAGAAACCACAAGAAAAGGCATGGGCTGTTGGTTTTCTGATCGCATGCCAAAAGCGCCACACTGACTGTTTGTGGGTTCAACGGAAAGTACCACGAGGCCCTCAAAGCCGAAAAGCCTAACGGGATGGCTGGGAAACACCAAGTAAAGCAATGAGACTGAAGAGGCGCACAGCAAATCGACCAAGGCACAAGGCGTGACTTTCTGCAATGGGCTGGTCAAGGTCAGACATGGGTTCCAGCGCATCTTGTCTCACTCAAAAGCCGTGTGTAGACTCACATGATCTTTGTACATCTGCGACTGATTTATGGGGCAAGCGAGTGCTGTTTCCCCACAAGTGTTGTTTTTCAGGAACATGAAAGTAAGAAAGTTCCATGAATGATTTCCTTGCAAAACAAAGAGATGCTAGTTTGCTTATGAAAGCAATCCCTCAACGATGCGGTCAACCTTAAGACCTAAGACCTATAGAGCAGCCAGTATGTGCAACCTGCTACAGAAAGAAAATGACTTGCCATAACAGCAAGTCTCAAAATGGTCATTCCCTACTGATCATAGAGTTTCATCCCTCTGCTCCAATACCACCGCTCAACACGTCTCCCCAGCCTGCCTGCGACTGAGGCTGGTCCGTCTGTGGTACAGTCGTTGGTTCAACTACTGCAAATTGCGCAGGCAATTGCGGTGGCGGCGGCTGGTCACTTGCCTGTGGCTGAGCTTGCGTAGGTGCTGGGCTCATGAACAGTGGCCAGGCCAATGGCTGCGTGAGCGGCTGGCTCGTCCCTGACTCAGGCTTTGGCTGAGGCAAAGGCGGCGTGCCACGCGTGGCTGGCGTCATCTGCGGCTCACTTTGCACTTGCTGCTGTGACGCAGTCAAATGTGGAGTGGCCATTTGCGACTGCCACGGTTCAGGTAGCGGGGCGGCCGGGGCCGGCTCGGTGAGGGCCTGTGGTTCAGATCGGGCAGGGTCAAATAGCTGCCACTGGGCCAACGGAGCTGCAGAAGCCAGCCACAGTGATTGCAGACCCAGTTCTGACTGCGTCAGGTCCCGCGTTGGCTCCAGCGCATATCCTGGCGCCGGAAAGCAAGGTCAGGGAAGTTGAGGCTTACAACCAAAGCAAAGTCATGCGGCATGTTCGGCAAACGCGTGGCCCTCGTATGCGTAGGTCGCTAATGTCCGACGCGCTTGAAAAGCTGATGCTCTTGCTCAATCACACTCAGAGAGGCTATTCGGCCTTGCCATGCTGATCCCTTCCGGACATCTCCAGGCCCTCCAAGGATGAATGCTTGGAATGAAACGTGTTTGGGGGCCCAGTTTTGTGGCCAGAAACGCCCATGCCCCAACTGCTTGTTATGCACGCGTTCTACCATTCATTTTGAGATGCTGACACAGTAATTGCTGTACCTGGTGAGGTTGCAATCCCAATTGCCTGAACATGTATGTCATGCTCATTGCCTTAATTGAGATGTGTGTGAGAAGTACAAGGGGTGAACAGGACTTGAATGTGTGTGTGTGTGCCTGTGATCATGACCCTTGTGTCAGCCATCCTTCTTTTACAACCAAACCCCGGGGAGGTGGTCAGCAATCTGAGCACAACAAGCAAAACCAACATGCCACCCGGACGGGCTTCGACTTCCGTCCAGGGAACCTCGCCCGCCTGCGAGCGACTTCGTGCTCGGCCTCAGAGCAGCCATTTGCCCAGCATAGGTGGAGAGGTGGAGAGGCGGAGAGCAGTTGAGGTGAGACTGCGGCTTTTCGTACGGCCCTCCTGAAAGGACCCCCGGGCCAACCATCAGTCGCCAGCCGGAAACCCTGCGTGCTTGAACATGGCAACACATTGTTCTTACATGCGGCCTGTCTCCAAAACAGTCACGGGGTGCCCAAAACGATCTTTGGGCATGGCTGGTTCAGGCCCTAAAGAAGCCAGAAGAAGTGAGGCTCACTCCGGCAAGCACCAATTAAAATGTAGGCCTCGGAGCACAAATAGTGACCTCTGTGGGGGGAAATCCCAGTTCATAAGAACCCCACTTGCCACCTGCAATAGGCAAGGTCCAACACCCTGTCGCCCAAGTTCCAGGACTCACTCTGAGGCAAGCATTCGAATTGTATAGGCTTCGGAAAGGCAATCGTCTTTCGAAGGGCTTTGCTCATTGCAACTGGCTGTATTAGAAACCCACTGGTCCAACACCCTGTCAAGCCTTCACCCAGGAGTCCGGCCATCGGGAAAGGTCAGCGTCCTAGCGGGAAGCAACAATCGGGAGACTGCGGAGGTATCCCGTCACAAAGAAACCCGACTCCCAAAGGTCGTTTAAAGTCATCAATAAGATCCGCAACCTACATGGGCACACGAGCAAGCCACGCGGGCACATGGGCAATCTGCGAGAAGCTGAAAAATGGCATCTCCGGAAAGAAAAAAGATGCGAGAAACTGAACAAAAACAATGCATGACACCGAAACGGCGCCTGGCATTTTTTCGGAAAAAACCCACCTGGCCGGGCTTGAAGTCCAAGTAGGCCTGCACCGTGGCTCGCGCCTGGCGCGAGAGGCGCAGGTGGCAAGGGAAAGCTGGAAAAATGTCGTTTGCCTTCGTGGATGCCAAGAAAGCCTTGATCTTCCAGGACCCTGGAAAAGCAGGCCTTTGGCCGAGTTTCCATTTGGAGCCAAGATCAAAATCAAGGAGGACCCTGGTTTTGCGGGTCCATGGAAGACCAAGGAAAGGAACTTCTTTGCCGGCTTCATGAATGCAAACGGAGCCATCGTCGACCAACGATGACGGAAAGCACTTCTTTGAAGCGGTTGGAAGATTTGTTCCGATGGGGGTGCGGGGATCAGCAGCTCGGCGTTCGCAGAAACCCTGGGGCTTGAACAGGCACCAAATGTTGGGCTGCTTGTTTTGTTGGCGGGTGGTGGCGCCGTTCCTGGATTTGTGGATTTGTGCAGGGTCACGAAAAATCCGTGGTGTCGCCGTTCTTGGCCATGACGTTTCGTCCACCCTATGTTTGGCTTTGAGCCCGCGCACTGCTGTCACTACCTGGAGGGTTGTGCGCTAGTGGCTCAACATGTCTGTTGAACGCAAATCGCCTGTACACAGTTGCTGAGCTGCCACAAAGAAAAAAACAACTTGTTGTTTACTAATTAGTAAAATGGTCTTCCCAAAAGTTTAAAGTCCATGAACTCGGGTAGTGTATATTTTGCCGTTGGCATCAGGCTCTTTGTGTCGCGGTTCTAGCGGTGTCCTTGCCCGGCTTGGGCTGCAGTTTTGGGGGGGGGGGGGGGGGGCGCCGGATGCCCCGTGGCGGCGGTTTGTCTGTGCTTCTTGGGCTGTTGCGTGTGAAAAAGATAACGGGCCTTTTTTGCCTTTGGGGCGTTTTAGAGTTGGATTTCGACGTTGCTGAGCTGTCCTTCCAGGGGCATGTTCGGCGCGTCCGCTGCTTGCATGTCCGGTTTCCATGGTCGACTGCTGCGCCTTGAATGAACTTCTCAGTCTGAGCTGCAGTGTCGGTGAACTTCCGAGTGTGTGTCTAACTGGCCTTCGTGTGGTGGAGAGCGCTTCTTTGACGCGGTTGGGAGTTGTGACAACACGACCCCCTTTTTTTTGTGTTTGCATTTCGACTTGAAGGTGATTAGCCGGTTCCCATTCTTCTGCAAAATGGCTCTAGTTGTATTCAGGTGTGTAGACGGGCTCGTGACACGTCTTCGATGGGGTATTCTGTGAGCTGCCTTGCCATTGCCTCTGGGCAATGGCTGTGGGCTGGTCGCCAATGCAAGTTGTACTTTGCTATGCCATCCATGGTACAGCATCATACTTGCAATGATGGAGGGGCGATATAATAATATATATATATATATATATTACCAGTGGACTTGCACAGGAGACAGGAGGCAGTCGGGCGATTGTCAGAGTGACTTGCACTGTGTCAGCTTCGTTGGTGGTCAACTTGCTTTCCGTTGCTTGCCGAACTTGGTTTGCAGGTAGGGTTAGGCCAAAAGGACCGGTCCGATGGCAGCGGGATGGGAAAAATCCCAAAGTGCTGTTGCCTCATGATCGTTGACGTCGGTGTTCAATGTTTTGAGCTGAAGGTCAACCTCCTTCCCCGAGTCTTCCCGTAATCTCCTTCCCGTAGTCTTTCTGTCTTCTGCCAAGGTGTCCATAATCACGTGGTTCTCGGTTGGTTCTCGGTCGATTGGCTCTCGGTGTTGCTGTCGGTCACATCGAACAAACCTTTGTCGTGTTGGGAAAGAAACGTGTGCCTGATCGAAGGCTTACCTGGGCCCAGGGGTTGGCGTTGTTTTCCTTCCTCATCGGTTTACACTGGCTCTGCATATAGAGCATGAAGAAACTTCTGCCATGCATGCTTCTTGTTCCTCCCAGCTTCCGATGGAAGATCCCTCGATGTCATCTACTAAATACGCCGCAGTCAAATTTGTTTTGGGGGGACCAATTAGTCTCCTCCAGCTTCTCTGTGGGAAACTTAGATAGAGAGTCCCTCCCCATGTACCCGCTAAATTGACCGTAGACTACTGGGCATCCTGTCTGAACCTCGAACTCACTAGCTACATTGGCTGCCACCTCTCAGCTGACTCCATCCAATGTTCAGCTGTGACCTTTGGCACAACGCTTACAATTCACAAGCATCTTTGCGTCGCAATGGCCGCTCAACTTGGTGCATTTCAATGGTTCCTCTTGAAGTACGGCAAAGGCAGAACCATGTCGCATCCTCCGACAGCTGGATTAGACGGCACATCACAACTCTTAGCAACAGCGCGATTCTAAAGCCCTTCTGCAAGCAAACACTCAGAGCTTGCTGTTGAAAGAGATCTTAGTTTGATACTGTGTGACACCACGTCGCTGAACTCGACAACAGGTCATGCTATGACATCAAGTTGTAGACCCGTGTATCCCATAACACCAAACAGCTGCCAACAGATTTGCTTCCTCTCACAAGCATACGACAAAACACTTCAAGCCTGGTGCCTTCAAGGACCAAACATGTCAGATGCAGAACCACCACCCTCTAAAATGTTGTCCACCTGCAAACCACTACCCCACGGGTTTTGGGCATCCAACCATAATATAATTGCCACGTAAAGGGCAAATACCCGGTTGCTGGGGGTGGAAGACATCTTTGACAGCAAAGGCAGGTCCATGCCACGACTGTTTCGCCACAAGTTCGCAATCCTTCCCCGCTTAAGCCACACCAGACGATACAACCAGCAATTCATCAAAGAGCCTAAGGTTTGCGATGTCGCAAAGTCAGCGAACCAGAACGAACCGCCACATGGCCATGGGTCAAAAGCCCGTACCCGCAGTGAACATCCCAATCCCCACTAAAATAGACTAAAATGGGTGGTGCGCCTACCCCAAAATGGTACCATTGGTTTTGACCCACAGCCACATGTCCGCTGTCTCAACCACTCAAAGGTTAGCTGCTTGCCAGTCCGTCGCTTCCCGGAGAATCCCTCCTTCTCTTTGAAGCGCCGCACCGGCAAAGACCTGCAGTCGACATTTCAGTTGGGAAGAGCCTCAAAAGACGCACATCAAACCCGAGGCCAGTCTGATTCATGACAATGCGTGGTGGTCATCCCCCATCAAAAGCTTCGCCTTTGGTAGGCCGTTGGTCCCAGCCTTCGGAAATCATGCAGAGGTAAACATGGCAACCTCTCATGCGTCAGACGGTCATGGGTGCTTTAGCCCCAAATGTCTGCTTCACACATTTGGTGATTCTGTCAAGTACCCATTCAAGGGCCTGCCAGCGGGGACCATGAAATGTACCCCTACCTTGGTCTTTGGTCACACGGCCAGTAGTGCCTCAGATGAGGAAGGTGCAAGGAAGCCATGAAACCAGCCCAGTGTGGAGTAAGACAACCTTTGCCAAGCACAAACTTTTCAAACTGGGTGAACCCATTTGGATGTCTTTTTCGAGGGTACTTTGTTGGGATGGGGTTCAAGGAAAACCAAAAGGAAGCCAACCATTTTGGTAGTGGAAGACACACCCATTTCCTCCGGTGACGGTAGCCCAGCATTCAGGTTGCGTGGGGTAGTTTGCGGGCGCATTAAGACGCGCAATTTCGTGAAGGCCAACTTCAGAGGCACCCAAATAGAGGGAGGCTTCTCGCCGGACTCCCACATTTGCTCCACGCCGGGAGCAGAATGCAAAGCGGCATGGAGTGATACGCATGTGTGTGTTTTGGTGTCAAGCTGGGGGTCTCTGAAGTCGACCTCAGTGTCAACCGTTATATCGCCCTTGCCCTTAGACCAAAAACCCGCAATGGAACGCATTCCATTCCGTAGCCCGTGCGTCTATTTGATGCTTCTGCCATCATGATGTCACTTTCAAGCGAGCCATGGCAGTGATAAATGAAGATGGCCTCTGCGGCCCTGACTGACTCACATCATCTTCTTCCCCGCAGGCCCTAGAGCCTTAGGTGGGCCGAACGTGGCGACACATTTTTCCGACGCGCCTGGCGAACCGCACCTGGCAGAATCTGGGAAGCTGAGCGAAAGGCCAGAGATGCCCAAATCAACTGCAACATGTCTCACTTCCCGCAGACACAAAGCCACTGAAAAACAAATGCTATAGTCATATTCAGAAGTAGTACACACAGAGCGCTGATTTGGGGCAAGCGTGCTTCAATTGTGATGTCCAAGCTCTAGCAACCAGCATAGCGCAAAAACGACACCCCGCAAAGCAAGCCCCCGAAGAAAACCCAGAGAAATTATTCCTAGCTAGTCAATTCTTCCCAAGACGTTCCTTGAGGGCATCGTTCGATGCCTTGTTCTCGGATGTAAGCTCAAGCAGTTTGGTTTGGGGACTCAGCGTCAAACTTGGTTGCCTTGTTGATTCACTCACTTAAGCTAGCACATCCCGCGTCGTTTTCTCCTTTGGCCAATCACGCCATGCAAAGAACCCTTGCCGGCTTGCTCTATCACAAGCAAGAACCGTCTGTGAAATCCCCTGCCAGCGCTTTTCTGCTTCCGGGCTCAGTGGGGGGGTGGGACGGGTCGATTCCCGACGTTCTTCGGCTCAGGCGTCCGCTCGGGCTTCCGTGAGCCGGGCGCTGCGAGCTTCGGAGCTTCGGAGCACACGTCGTCGCTTTTCTCCCGCCACGGTCTTACGTAAAATGCGAGACCTCCAGCCCAAATGGGTGCACGTAAAAGCCTCCGCATGCTTCGCAGGAGCTTGCGGTTGTTTTATGAGCTATGAGTTTTCGCCGCGCTTTCCCGGAGCTTCCACGAATCGAGCCATACTCAAGCAGCCTGAAACAGTCAAGCACGGGGTTTAGAATGAGCGGCCTTTGGGTAAAATGCTTGGTTTCGTTTTGCGCGCGACTGTTGGCCTGCCGCGTCTTCTTCCGCCATGTGCTCTTTTGCAAACGCCAGTCATCGCATGAAAACGTGATGGCAGGTGTCAAATAGTCAGCTTGTAGCTTGCCTTCAACAGATTCGTCCACAAACTCACTCAGGAGGATCTATAAGTAGAAATCGTGAATTGTCATGGAAAACATGACTTCAGCAACCGTCACACATTTACATGAAACTACATTTGACATACAGTCGCCAACTCGGATACTGCGCTAGTAGGTACCGCATGCTTGCATGCTTGCACATCTCTGTACTCATTTGTCAAGATAAATGCCAAACACACATTTATTGTTGCCAAATAAACTGTGCGACAATAATTTTGAAGCACATGTTTTGAGCCGAAAACACATGTTGCATTTTGAAGCACATGTGTTCTACCAATATGTGAGGGCTTGAAGGACCAAAGGCAGAACGTGAATGTGGGGGTGTCCCCTATTTTGACACACACACACACCCATATGCTTCTTGAGGGGATTGCGTGGACTGGTCTGGCATGGCACAACTTATTTTCTTCTTTTGGAGTTGAGTCTTCCATCTTTGAAGCTGAGCAAAGGCTACACCCAAGGAACTTTTATAAACAAAAGGGAAAGCCAAGGCAATCAAGAAGCTCCAATCAGCGTGCACAAATTGTGTCATTCACTCGGCTCTTCCGGCCGTATTCTGAAAGCGGTCTGATGTCCTTAAAAGGGGAGGGGTAGCAAAACCGACATGCAATGCAGTCAAGGTTTGAAACCAACCACTGAATCCCCTCCTCACGTAGCTGCCCTGTGCCCTCCATTTCCCCACATCGCCATGTATATGCTAACGCCCTTTCACATGTGGAGTTTCTCAAAATGGTGCCCATCTTTTTTGGTTAAAGGGAAGCCAAAAAAAACATTCCCGGGGATGCGATAAACACTCCGGCACATCTTGCCTGGCACGGCTCCCGTGTAACTGGCATGCGCTGTCCTCAGCCCAAATTCGCGCAAGGGCTTATGGCCCAATTCGCCCTCAATGCTTCGGGAGCCTGTGAAAACATATGGGATATCCTTCTAATAGAGGGCTGGGGACTGTGGGCACTGCACATGTTGCTACACTTTGATCTGATTGTGTATGCAATTATGTATCTGCTGCTTGCGCTTGCTTTGATTATTTGAGATCCGATTGAAATGTGTTTAAAATGTTGATGCTGTGAACAACTGTGTAAAGGAACTTATTTTGGAAAGAAAAAACTGACAAAAACTAACCTGAAATAGAACACAATAAGTATCATTAAAAAGAAAACATGTGTGGATGTTGTCCTTAGTAAGTTATATCTAAAGTCAGTAAGAATTGAGTATAATGTGATACATAAATTAGGCACAATGCCAAAAGTAAAGAACTCAGAGGTCCAAAGATCGTGCTTTTACCTATTTCAAGCAGTATGGGTTTCAAGTAAGAAATTGGAATGTTTGTTGAATTTAGAATTTACACAGGATGTCCTGTCCATAGAATTGTCTTCAGTCAACAGATATCAGCACAGCTAATTCTGAAAGCCAGTTCAACTCCAACTTCCTTTCGAAACTGGAACTTTAAGTAGGGATTTCGTTCAATAAAAGCACATCCACTAGATCAGCCCTGCCCAAAGCCAAAAAAAAACACTCACGAACACGAAACAAAACAAAAATAGACATTCTCCCAGAACTCTTGGAACAGTGAGTGGCTGCTTCTAGAACGAGTGTCTGAGGATGGTTTTGTGTTTGGTTTCCTCGAGTTGATCTTGTTTTGGGGGGGACAGTAGAAAGCACAAACACGTTTGTATATGGAATTTGCACATGTCCAAGAAAACACGACAACAAAGCACTGCCACAGTTCCGACCTGGTCATGGCCATGGCTCCCTCAATGGGGTCCCTTACAGCCTTACATCGGTTGTCTACACCCCCTACTAAACTGCCATAACCATCTATAGCCAAGCAGGTCTTTTGACCATGGGTCAATGCTTGCCCGTGAGATAATTTAGGCCAGTAAATCGAAGTGCCATTGCCTGTCAGTGGCCCTGTGTCCTGGGTCGTGGGCAAAACCTCAATCACTAAGAAGTCTCAATGCGTCAACCAAATAACAACTCTCATGTCTGCGAACTATTGCCTTGACATGGCAGTAAAAGGGTCTAGATGCATCAAGTCCTCATTTCCGAGCCATGAAATTCAGCCAGGGAGAAAGACAACATATGGCTGTGGGTCAAAACCCTGTACCCCTGAACATCCAAATAGGTGGCAAATGGATGTTCATCCACCCCAAAATGGGATCGCGCTAGGTTATGCCCCATGGCCATATCCCTTCAAAGACCTCCTCAAATCTGCCCCTCGTTCCCCGCTTTTGGGTTGAGGCGATTTTCTGAGAGCCCGGGCCCAGCTTTGGCCCCACCTGCACTCGCCGAGCGCTTAAGGCTTTCGGCTGGCCGCTTGGGCGTCACGTCTTCACAAGCCTTGGTATGGGCTTGCAAAAAGCGTTGGTATGGGCAGCCCCCTACGAAAAGGTGAGACACACATCAGCTATGTTCTTGCAAAGAGGGCCGTCCCTGAAAAAAATGTCCAACATGCCACGGTCAGTTAAAGGACTAAGACCTACGGAAAATGAACAGAACCCAAAAAACCAAAAACGACAAACAACTGGCCAAGACCAGTGAAGACGTACAAACAGCGCATCCTTGCGCAAAAAAACAACAAACAAAATGTGCAGTTCAGATTTAGGCCGACGCTAGCAGGTGAGCACCGGCTCAAATAAACACCACGCTTGGCGCTACTCTCCTGACCACATATGTTGCACTGGCCGGCAAAGGAAATACTATACTCGGTTTGAACAGTGAGTGCTGGTAAGCGGCGCACCAACCTTGGCTCGGAATGCTAGGTGGTAAGCCGGTTCATAACTTGTTTGCTCATGCATTCTTAGGCTGCGCTGATCAATCTGCGTTTCCCCACGCCAATTGGAAGGCCATGATAAGAGATCAACTGAAAGCATCTGCGACCAGAAATCAAGCCGATCGCGAATAATTAATAATATCACGCGCAAAAGATACTGTGCCTCCTGAATACATGACTGGCAGTCATTCTCCGAAGCGGCAAGACAAAGTGTCTCATTATTGTAGCCTCGCCAGAATCTGACGAAATCAGGATGATATCGCAACCAACTACACACCGTTGCACGTCATAAGCTTGTCTGCAATACCATCTAAGCTTCAATTAGCTAAACACACAAGGCTGAGGCAGCTTCGTGTCCACAGCTGTTAGATACCGCTAACCTCTAGGAGTGGAAGACATGTTAAGTACTGCCATCTGCGCTGTCACTTGCCAAGCCAAACGTTTCTTGCCAGTTGCTCGTACCTCGTTGATGCCTTCAGGCCAGCGGGCCATGGCTGTCAAAATTGAAACACGAGACTGGGCAAAAGGCGCCAGCTGAAAACTTTTGTATGAACAGCACCTTAGCTGTCCACTCTGGATCACTTGCAACAAAGAAACATCGGCCCCAAGTGAGTCCATTGCGGTCGCTCAAGCAACACACCCGCCTCCGCCTTGAAGAGGCATGTTGCCGCATGCGATTGTGCCTGCCAGCTCTAAACAAAATGGAGAACCTGTCTCGGGCTCAAGTTGCACACCGACTGAAGTCCCGAGTAAGCCAAGTTGCCAAAAGAAATGGAAGCCATGTTGATCGGAGGTTTTGCACTCCTGCAACGCTCAACAGGCCTCACATGTATCGGAATCATTGCAGTACGCATCAAAACGCGGACTTCCAGACATGCGTCTCTTATTCACCGCTCACATGACAATTTCAACAACTCAAGCGTCAGCTGTCAGCTTAGGCTTCGCGTTGTTGAAATTAGCTTCTTGCTTTGTTCGCTCAACTGTTCCTCTTGACGGCCGAAACGAGACAGGAAGCGGCTTGGTACATCAAGCATCAAACTCGTTGTGCAAGCAACACTAGTCTGAGAGGACCCATTTTTTTCTAGCTTCCATTTGCTTCAGTCCACAGGAGAAAAGAACAACAACATATTGCCAGTAGTGAAGTCGATTCCGTTTAGACCCAACCGGGTGGAAAATGACAAATATTCACTTGGGGGCGGCCCCAAACATAGGGGTCCAACATGGGTTGCCCTGTACATTCGGAAAGGTAGACTAGTCCACCTGCGGGTCTGCCCCTGCTTCATTCTGAGCCACACCCGTTTGGCCATGGGTCAAAATCCTGCCCCAGTGGACATCCCAATCCCCACTAACATAGGTTCTAAAATGGGTGGCGAATTCACCCACCCCAAAATGGGATCCCATTGGTTTTGACAACCACAGCCATTTCACCAAATGAAAGCGAAGTCATCCCCCTAAGTGATGGGTTCAATTTTGAAACAACCCCCATTTCCCGACTCTGACAACCCCCAGAAACGGTCAAAATCATGACGCCACCCGTCGCTCCTGAGCCGCGGCGCGCTGCCCGGAGCTCTGCCGGCAGCTGGCCGAAAGCGGGAATGTGCGAGCGGCGAGCACGGGTTCTTCCGGAGTGGCCGAAAGAAGCGACCTGGACTTGGTGGTGTTTTTGTTTGTTTGTTTTCTGCTCCCCTGCTAAATGTTTAACCAAGCAAAATGCACCAAAGTGGAACTGGTTCTGTAGGGCTAAAATGGTGTTTGTTCCATAGTTAGCCCTGGTTTTGCGTTCAAGGTCCTGGAACTAAAATGGTCAAGTTTTTCAAAAGTGAGGCCAGTGTCACCTAAGCCTATGGCCGAAAACCGCAAAAGGGGTCAAGTTCGCCTAAGACGTGCAATAAGGGGTCCATAAGTTCTACCACCCATGTGTGCTATCTTCAGATCTGCCTGAGAACACCTTTGCTCACTTGCTCCTCCAAAATGAGTTAAACTAACAGCTCACAGCACGCTCGGCCAAGGCTTTGCCTCAAAAACTCAACCGAGAGCAGAAAGAACACCTCGGTGATGAACATTTCCAGTGAACGTTGGATGTGCCGTTCTGCTTTGTGTTTTTCTTTGGGGGGACGGACAAACATTCTAAAAGAACTTTGAAAGTTGGTGTGTCTTGGGGTGGCTATGCCCAAACAAGCTTCAGCCAACAGCCAAGGGAAAGCTCCCCTTGGCTCATGAGAGATATCTGAGGTCATTTCCCCTCCACCGAGATGGTTTCCGATGTAGCTCCCACTTTGTGGGCTTGCCATGGGCCGCCCGGAACGGCCTCGGGCCCGGAACGGCCTGGCCGAACTTCTCAATGCGTTTGTCTTCAAAGGGCTTTTGCGTTGCGCCCGTCATCCACAGGCAATTCCCCGCCGAAAAGCAATTCCCTGGCAGTTGGCGAAGGAACATGGATCTACCTTCCTGATAGTCAAGCAATATGAGCAATATGTCAGCGTATGGGCCATATACAGTATGAAAAGTCCCTTCCCGTCCCAGCCTCCGAGCCATGCCAAGCACATCGACAAGGTGCTGGATGGTGGATGGATCGGTGTTCAATGATTTAGGTGGCTAGCTGCTTGGCTGCCTGACTGGTTGCTTGGCTGGGTGTTTGGTTGGTAGGTGGGTGGATTGGTGCATGTGGAGTCATGACATGAACGGTAGACTCCTGTTTATTACGGCACAGTGACAATCTGACGATTTAACCGGCATATTGTCCTAGAACTTGAGAGGGCACACCCAGGGGAAGCTTGAACAGTTACGTATGGGAAACTGCAACATGCACCACATCTCGGGATGAAAGTGCCCCAAGTCGATATATTTGTACGTTTTGCCGAAGGCACTGTACAAGCCAGGTGGATCATGTGGATCACATGCTGCTTACTGCTTTCATTCAGTCTCACGGCGGCAATTGTGCGGCCACCTGACCCAAAACACCCACCATCTGACTCCCGGCACGAAGGCTTTGCCACACTGCAAGCACAACGGCGTACAAGCCGCCTAGCTTTAAGGCTGGCATGAATCCGCTGACCATGTTGGTGAACGTAGTGTCTGTCTCAATGTGCTAGACCTCTTGCTCGACTGCAGATTAACATGGACCCCCTCAACAAAAGCGTCCCCCACCCCACCCCCTCTTTGGCAGGGGAGTAAAACCGGAGCAAAACCTCGAAGCCTCATGGAGTCGCAAATTCAGCGAGAGTAGCGCAAGCAGATTTTGGGCAGGTGGGCGGCCCTGCAATCCTCAACCACTGGTCATATAGCAACAGAAGTGCCTGAAACTCGCACAATTCTCGGCCTTTGCTTGTATTTGCGCTCTTTCCACATGCGAGATCTATGTTGTAGAAGCAAAACATCTCTGGCGATTCCTTTCGCAGAGGACAGAGTCTTGTCAAATTGTAGGTGTTTTGGCCATGCAACCCCACCCGATAGTCAAAGATCCGAGGTGACCCTAAAGGGATCAACTCTTGGAGTCAGAGACTTACGTGGAACCAACTCCTTTCTCACGCGCGTGCAGTCAGTTCAGAGTGAAACCCACGGCCGTACGGCCGTAAAGCACCTGGCACTCTGGCTTCTCCTTTCTCGGAACATAAAATTCGAGCCTTGGCCTTGCCCGCGGAAGAGATGTGACCAGTGCATGCGAGAGTGACAGCTGTGCTCGGTGCCCGGAGCCGATCGTGAAGACAGGGTGAACCATTTTGCATCGACTGCTTTTCGCTCGTGAGTTTATGCCACGCTCGATCGGAGCTTGTGCCCCGGAGAACATGTGGCACGTCACTTGCAGCATGACACAGAGCAATGTTTCTCCACGGTTTCATTGAGATTCCTGAGGCATGTGCGAAATCATCCAAGGCCTTACAGTAGGTATGGATAACTGCCAAAACGCTTCCAATTAATCGAAGTTGCAATAGCTTCGTCATAATTTCGGCCAAGGGTCCAGAACCAAACCTTGCATCTCTGACCCGCCCATTTGGGGCAGAAAGAGTGGATGCGAGGGTTGTTTTGAGTTGCAGCTAAAACGGGCATAGCACGTCCGCAAGGAGAACCATTGCAGAACCTGTGAATGCTGACTCACCTGAGTCGCGATGCATTTTGGGTGAGAGCACTGCTGGCAACATTCCATGTGAAGCCGACAGAATGAGGAGTTTAAGTAAAAACCGGACATGCAAACAAGTTTGAGTTGCTGTTTCTCCTGTAGTTGTTTATGGCACGTGCATTTCGCCTTCAGGGTACCCTCATTCTTTAGAATGGCAAAAACGGGTGTTGGGCTTGTCTAGCATTTGCTCCAGCACGGCGCATGTTGCACTCAAGGTGACTGAAGAGTCTCTATCTCATCTCGCACGTTTTCGATCTTCTTGCGCATGCCTTGCCACGAGAGCAACACAAGTGAACTCGATGCACTCAAAGCAATGTTTGTCTCCAAAGGCAAAAGCTGTCTGATCTAGACAGCCAGGCCAGCAGCTGGTTCATATTCGGGAAGCCTGTTCATGGCCGTGCTTGCGCCTCTTGGATTAAGGAGATCGTCGATCAACCAGTCAACCAGTGCTTACTAGCTTGCAACTGCCTGTTAGTGAGTGCGGGGCATCAATCAATCAAGGCCTTTCCCAAGGACCAAGACACTTGGATGTACCACTCCGGAAACTTCCAGGTATCCATGCTCTTGACTAAGTCGAATCAAACCGCTGCCAAAGAGAAGAAAACACCAAAACCGAGATCTAGGAATGTGAAGTCATTGTTTGAATAAACACAGACCCTGCAACACACCGGATGTTACAACATCAAATTGGCGCATCGGCATGCCTTAGCTTAGCACTCGACCTGCCACATACTCAATATTAAGAGAACGGCCTTCTTGATGCCCAGGCTTGCCTCTAAGAGGACTAGGAATATTTGGACTATGTAGTAGTTGTTTTTCATTTTAGATGTGAGCAACATGGAGTGTACGTGTCGCTGTGTGTCAAGCGGAGAAGAAGCAAAGTCCCATATCTTAGCTCTCATCACAACAAACTCACCCGTGAAGACCACGATTGACGACAAAATGCATGTTTTTTTTTGTGTTTTTTTTTGGTAGAGGTGCGTTGTCTCTCTTTCACAGACCTCCCACTCGTAGGTTAAGAAAACCAATCAGGCCATGGAGGAAGATGCAAGCAAAGCCACAGACAGCTGCTCTTTTCAATCGCAAAATTGTTTTTGGGAACCTCGTTTGTTTCACAGGAAAAAAACCGTATCAACCTACCGCTAGTGACATCTTGTATTCTTGTATGGGGAGACAAAACAACATCGCCAAACAAATTGCTTCTTTTGCGCGGAGCCGCTTGCCAGCTCCGACACGAGCAGGGCATTGTCGCTGACCAGACCGCAAACATCGTCCTGGGGGGTAAGCAAGTCTCTCTTCATCCGCCGACAGACGTGTTGGACACAAGGAATGCTCCTCACCTACCCCTCCCCCCCGTTTCTGTGGCCTCGAATCTGGGGGTGGGCCACCGGTGATTCCAAGACCTTCTCTTCTGCGGGACCCCTTTCGCGCTTTCAAACGGTGAGAGCCTTCGACGCCGCCAGGCCACTGCCCAGCCTCCCCATGGTGTTGCACCCTCAGCAACATCAGGGCAACATCAGCATCGCAAGCAGTGTCACAAGAACCTTCCAGGAAAACAGGAGCAAAGAGGGTCCAATGAAAGGCCCCATCTATGTGTGTCTTGTGGGAAATTGCAAACAAACACTTTGGTGGCAGGGGAAAACATGTCGGGGAAGATTGGATGGGGAAAACATTGGAGCCATGGGGAGAAACATTGGGCAATTTAAGGAAAGGAAGGAAGGACGAATGAAAAGCAGAAAGAAGGAAAGGGAAAAACAAAGAGATAAAGAGAAGGAGAGAAATAATGACAGAGAGAGAAAGAGAGAGAAAAAGAAAGCAAGAAAGACATAAAGAAAGAAACATAAAGAAAGAAACATAAAGAAAGAAAGAAAGAAAGAAAGAAAGAAAGAAAGAAACATAAAGAAAGAAAGAAAGAAACATAAAGAAAGAAAGAAAGAAAGAACGAAAGAAAGAAAGCAAGGAAAACAAAGAGAAATATGTAAAGAAAGCAACAGGAAGAAAAAAGGGGAAAGGAGAGAGAAGAACAGCGAAGCAGACACACCTACACGCACACACACACCCACGCACACACGGCCAGAAACCACAAGAAGGCAAGAAAGGCTCAGCTGCCCCGGACGCGCGGCCTGAACCCAACAACATCGGGGGCCGAAACGGCAGCACTCGAACAGCGGGCGCTGTCACCCTACCCCTTCAGGCACAAGAGGGGGGTGCTCATCGGGTTAGAAAAAGCCTGAGGGTCCGCCCCTCCCAAGCGGCCAAGAAAGGAAGAACCTGCTCGGCCAGGGGGATTGGAAGCAATGCTGAAACCATTACAGGGGGGAAATACTGGAAATGTGGAAAAACCATGAGAAAAATATTGGAAAACATTGCACACCATGTGGAAGATACGGGAAAACATGAAAAAAACATCGGAAGCCGCAGGGAAAGCATTGGAAACCATGGGGGATTAACAGGGGACACGTCTAAAGCAAACCTGTAACGTCGGCGTATTTATTGTTCGTGGAAGAGATTATACTGAAGAACGGCCCTTGGCATATCTGCCCTCCCTTCGACTCCTGCATCGTCATGAGGGAGAACTCACTCCCTGCCGCAAATCAACGTCAAACATGGCTACAACTGCTTGAAAACCACCAACTCCCCCCCCCCCCGCGCCCCTTGTTCCCCTTTTGTGAGGGGGGCAGAAGGTCAGAAAACGCCATTGGCTGCTTGAGACAGGTTCTTGAACCTGTGCTGGCCACCGATTCCACTGGCTGCCATTGGATCGCTTTGTGTGACACGGGTTGGAATTCAAACCCTTTCACGAACCCAAACAATTTTGCGCAACTTCCAGCAGGACCCGTGACCCAATTTGTCAGGTCCCATGTCAACTTGCGGAGTACCTCGTGGGCAGCAAGCGGAACTTCGCATCAAACTGCAGCGGAGAAAAACCCGGAAGACATGTTCGCAGGCGCCAAAGCCGGCTGGAAAAAAACACAAAAAAAACAGAAGACAGGTTCGCAAGCGCCACAGCCGGCTGAACAGTTGATTCAAAGAAGCAGCTGAACGTTCTCATAGTTCACTTTGCATGCAGCTTGCCCGTGCATCCCGCAGTTCCGGCGCCGCATAGGTGATTGTGGAAAAAGCAATCAAAGGTCACTTGCTAGGCCGAAATCACCGGCAGAATGCCAATGGATCAGGAGCGCAACAACCAACATGACAAACATGGCAATGATCTGTCAACACCATTCCGGGCGTCGCGCTGCATGCTAAGCAGCCTTCTGCCAGCTGACTGAGTAGCAATTGGCCATGGTATCATTTTAATCTAGGCATCTGAAGGCCCCCCCCCCGTTGCCTCCCAATGCCTCAAGGCCTCAGTAAAGCCTCAGGGAGTCATTTAAAAGGGAAACATGCAGGGAAAAGAATTGATCCTGTTCAAGGATGAAGTCTGCGCGACACTCTCAGTATCCCTTAGGAAAAAGGCATATTGCTTCCTTGTTTCAAGCAATGAAATCAAGAATATGTGTTTGCCAACTTGAAGATCTCCAAAAAAAGCAAAGGACAAAACGCTGCATTGAAGCGTGGTCGCTTGACAAACACTTGCTCCACTAAAAAGGGTGTGTCTTTCTTCAGGCACACCAAAACGACTTTCCAAGAGGCCGTTGCCAAACTTTTCCCCGTGCCTTCGGGGTCTTCCCCGACCTGGCATTCGAAGGCTTGGTGAGTTCTAGGGACCCAAACCTTCGCTTCCCTTGAGTTGATTTGGTTTGGGTAGTTACCTAGGTCCTCCAGTAGAGAGGTTAGAATAAGGGTACCCTTTTTCTGCAGTCGATTTTAGTAGGGGAAACCCTCCCCCAAAAAGGGGTAAAAGGGCACCACTGAAAGACTAGTTACGTTTATATAGACGTTGGATGGTTTCCATTCAAAGGCTGGAGGCTCAAGTCTCCAACCATCAACTGGCTCCCTGATTGGCCTCATTGCTTGAGGAAACGCGCCCGCAAGCCTTTGCTTCATGCCCTAAAATTTGCACTTAGGCAGCTCGTGATCCAGTCGACCGTGGATAAGTTGGGGAATCGTCCAAAATGAAGATGTTGAAAGCAACCCCCTGATCCCCAACCTTGCGCGCATTCGCCTGTCACACAATCCCCGTCTAGGCTCACCCGGATCTCACAATTAGCGGACAAAAACAGTGGGTCAGGTCATAGACAGGCCATTTCAAGGTAGGACTGCCGTTAATTTGCCCCCTCTCATCCTCGGCTTGGAGAATGGATAGCCTCAAAATGTGCCACAGTATCCCACAGCCTTACTGAAGGTCCGAGGAACTTGGCTGGAAACTCAACGTGAGCGGTGAGAAGCTGAGCGATGTCGCATGAGTTTTTTAAGTCCAAGCAAACGCGTTCAGCACGTTGGCTGAAGTGCTCCTAAAAGCAGTCCATGCTTCCCATTTCTATGTGAACAACCACGTGCATCTGGAACCTCCGCGACGTTGCCGAGCCTTCTTCGCAAGTTCTGCGTTCTCCAAAAGCAGCTTGCGGTACCTGCTGGAGTCAAGGCCTTGAATTCCAAGAGGAGAAAAAGCCAGGTTCCGAAAACACACATCACCACCAAGGAAAACTCAACTTCGATGAGGTGATCTCGAACACTGGGATCATCTCGGATCTACAGGGATCTACCAAGTCCTAAACTCTCGGCAAATGGCGGTAATAGTCAGGTGAGACATTGTCAGCGGGTGAAAGAGGTACCAAACCGGATTCTTCCGGCACAGGTTCTGCCCCAAATTTTCTGCTTGGCAACCAACACCCTGCAACAAGCTGAAATCCCACAACAAGCGAGTTGTCTTAGGCGAGGGTGGTGTTGCCCTTTAGTACCAGTACCGGCGATCTCAGTAGTGCTTGGCAAACAATATTCCCTCACAACGTTGCTGGGATATAAAAGTGACCTGATCCAACAACTTCATCAGATCATGATGCGCGGGTACACAAATTAAAGCAACTGGCCAACCATGTTGCTCCATCCAATATGAGAACATGAGCAACCTCCACAGGGTCCGTGTTCTGCAGTGCTGAAGCTGCTCAATATTGCATAGAAACGGTTTAGAAAACTGCCTTCGAAGGTATGGTTGTCACTCTCTCTAAATGTGTATATATATATATATATGCAAGATGTACATATATCCCGTATATCATACATCACTTGTAACATAGATGTCATGATGTTCAAAGAAGAACAAACAAGTCCATGGCAAAATCATGAGAGCACCAACATGCCAACACAGCCCATTTTGATTTGCCAGCTCGCAAAGCAGCAATATGCCCAAACAAAAAACATATCCCTTGTTCAGCTCAGCTTCTCGAGCCGTTCATGTGCCGCGCCTGCCCTTCAGCAGGTTGAGGGTATCTCGCAGCTCCTGATTGTCTTTCTTCAGCTGCTCACCTGGCGGAACCGTGAGCGATTCCCGTCCAACTGTTGGTAGAACTTGGAGCAACTTCAACAACTGGTTGCTTCTCTTTTTGAGGCCCCCTACGTGGACAGCACCACAAAAAAAAAAAAAAAAACATGAAAGCGCGCGCCTGTTTTTTGAGGCCCCCTACTAAGAATGAACAGAACCAACAACACAAAAACCAAAAAGAATGCCAACAATCAATGAAGGTTCGTACCATGCATGCTTCAGCAGTGCGTGAGCGACCAAGGTCTGACAGCATGTAGCTCGCACTTGCACACCCATTCCTTCGGGGAAGCCGCAGCTGGTGCGAAACCGAAGCAAACGGAGGACTTCACGCCTGCACACACCATCACAGTGCTCTTTCCCTTATCAAAGAAACGCTTACACGTATCACAGTTCCTGAAAACTTTCGATAGTCACGCCAAGGATGACAGAAGAAGGCGACAGTCAAGTCCTCATCTAGCTGTTCTTCTCAATGAGGATCACATATCTTCCAACAGCATCGTGTTTGCCTTTCCGTCCTAAGCCATGATCCAAAGCTTTCGGCTTGCGCAAAAAAGTCTAGCCAGGACCCTGTCATTCTGCAAAACTTGCAAAGTGAGAAGCAAACATCTTAAAACTAGCTGGAAGAACATCCTATCACACTATACCGAGCAAAAAGTCACAGGCCCGTCATGAGACACTGCCCCAAACTCATGATGCAGGAGTTTTGCGGCAATGAGAAAGATGGTCTGGGAAAATGGGCCCCATGCAGCTCTGCCAGCCTGCCCTGCCTATCCACCCGCCCCCCTTCCGTTTTTTGCCGGCTTTACCTAGCCCCAGCCCCGCGACAAGACTCAGCCCAATGCAGTTCTGTCGGCCTGACTCTTGAAGTGAGCCTTAGACTTCACCTGGCCCCACATTTAGTCCCACCATTGAGCGTGGCCTAACCCACCAGCTTCACACTCCGTAGACCTGCAACGCAGTTCACTTGGGGCTGTTTAAGCGAACCAGGCCCAGTCTCAGTCGGCCTTCTCTCTCGGCTCCAGACTGAGAGGCCCGGCAGCATTGGCTCAAGCCCGCATTGCTCTTCCGGTTCGTTTCAGCTTGGCAGAGGCTGGCGCGCAGCGTTTGCAATAAAACATCAAGTACGTTTGGGGAGGTTCTTGTTTCCAGGAACCCCCCCTTTGGGGGGGTTGAAAGGGACATGGCAAAAAGCACCCATTTCGGGGGTGAACGTCTTGGGCCTCGAAAACCAAATCGGATGGATCTAAAACTTATCTTGTGTGTCTGTGTGTGTGTGCTTTCCTCCTTTTTTTGAGGGGGAGGTTCTTCATTTCATTTCTCATTTCCCCCATCTCCAGGTGCCTCCCCCCTCGCGCAGCGCCAGAAATCGCGCCGGACCTCGCGCGGAAGCGGCAGGCCGCGCCTGCCGCTTCCGCCTGCTTCTGGAGGCTTTGCAGCTGCTCAACGGGCACCGCGTCCGCGGACTGGATGAGGAGTTGGGGTTCCCTTCGGTTGCCTTTCCAGTCATTTGGCTGTGATCGTGGGTCAAGAGCACTAACCAAACTTGAACGCTTAGTGAGCCTCCAGGTGCATGGTTGTGCGGATCCTCTGGGTGAAAACCATATATTTCACCAACCTAAAATAAGGTGGGCAGGTCTTCCCCACAACCACCATTTGGAGTGAGGTTGTGTGAGGTGGCTATAATTCACCCAGTTCAGTTCCCTTGGTGTCCAATCATGGGGCAAGGCAGTCTGGGAATTTTTGGTTTGGGGGCTTTATGACCCAAGTTCCCTTCATGTCCCTTCATTTCCCTTCATGTTCTTTCATTTGCTTCCGGTCCCCTTCATTTCCCTTCATCCTTCAGGGACCAAGGTCATGGCTGTTAAAACCGAAGTCAAAACAACTTGGTTGCTCCTATCAATTAAGCAACAGTATGGAACTTTAGAAAAGTCGTGATCGAAAAGATCATTGAATTTGAGAAAAACGTGTTCCGAATACTTTGTCGATCAGTTGGAAAGTTCAGGTCAAAGCGACCCACTGACAAGAGCCAGAACATCTGTATTGGGAAAGCTTCGAGGTCCCACCCACGAGACTACGAGAAGTTTGCACGGAGTGAGCCGGTGCCTCAGAAAGCTGCTTCAGGATGGCATCCAGCTTCTCATCCTCAGACCACGTGGACATCTTGGCACCAAAAAATGCCCAACTCAAGCAACGCACATGCGCGAGGCAACTCAGGCCTCATGTGCCGCATGGCGTACTCAACTACCCCTGCTCTGCCATTGCCCTCATTTAGACACTCCATGAAGGTCGACCAGCCAGCTTCAGTTGCACCGGCAAAACTTGAAAGGCGACAAGGGCTCACTCATATCCAACCAACGGCTGATTTAGACGGAATCGAAACCCGGAATACTCAGATCATCTTGAAACCCAGCAAGACCTGAGCCCTAAAATATTCACCACGATGCAAAAGTCCTTCACTTGCTGGTGCTCAGTAGGGAATGTGGGAATGAACCCAATGCTTCCCTTCAAGGAAACCACCAGCAGTTGGATGGTTTTTCTTGGGCTCATTCCATTTCTCAGCTGCCTCTCTCGCATCTCTCACCGATCGCAAGTCTTTGCTCTGCCATCTTCCTGGTTGAACCCGAAGCAACGCGGAAAAAACAAATGCCTTTAGTCATCAGCTTCTGCCGCGCTTCCGCGGAGTTTCCGCGACTCGAACCCTACACAAACCGCCCCCCAAAAAAGCGAACCTCCATCTAAAAAGCAACGCAAGGGCTTATCTACGACTTTCACTTGGGTATGGGTCAAAATTAAACCACCGGGAAAAACCGCAGGTTTTAGTCCTTGTCTCCATTTAGCAGGGCAAGCCATGTTGTGTGCCTATTATTGACCCACACCCACTTGATCGAGTCCATCAAGTTCGCATTCGACCTGCCCAGGTGCTGTCGGCCCTGCGAGCTGTGTGGCCTCAAAGCCGCGTGGATCGGATGGGCGGTCCGTTCTCTGCTCCCCTGCTAAAAGCTGGGAACCACCCAGCTTTTTGGTTGGTTGCGCTTCAAGAGGGGGGGATCCCCTAAAAAGTGAGAAAAAGAAACATCGTGGGCGCCGGGCAAGTGAGGCATTTGCTCTTAAGCCCGGCCATAGGATTCTCATGGGATCATGGTTGGATTTGCAAGCCAAATGGGAACAAAAGGGACTGCCCACGGGTCCTCTGGATTTACGCGTCCCCGTCCACAAGCCCCCTGCTACGGGCCCACACTCACATGGACACGTCGCTGGGCAACTCGAAAAACAAAAAAGAAAACACAAGCTCGAAAAAAAAGGAAGCCCCAAATCCAGGACCTTCATCTGTGAGCTCCTCTTCCCCCCCCCTCGAGCTCGTTGGATTTCTTTTGCGCAGACTCGACCCAAAAACAATTCGAGGCTCCGGCCATGATCCGTTTGGTCACCTGCCTCTGCACGAACTCGTACCTCCCAACTGGTCCACTCGGTTGATCCACTCGGTTTATCCACTCGGGTACGGTTCCCAGGCATGTTCTTGAGCATTACTAAAGTCATGTGGTGAAATCGCATGATAGCGAACAATCTGGAGAACCACTATTCTGCACCTGTGAATGCCTAATCGTTTTGGGTACAAGTAGTCCAACGTGTCCAATTCTCCCCTGGGTTCATCTCTGGAACCATCTGCACAAGCGAATGGGAAGTTCGCCATGCATGTAATCTATGCTTAGCCACTACTGTGGATGGCCGAAATCTTGCACCACCTGAGAAGAAGGGCTCTCTAAAAAAGACAAGACGCAAGCAATTGCGGCCTATCCTCACAATTTGTTTGTTGCGAGCCATGGAATTCCCCAGTCCATGAGGTAAACATTAAAAAAAAAAAAAAAAAAAAAAAAAAAAACGCCTGAGAAACATGTGGTGCAATCCCGACCAACGTGTGCAATCAACTTTGGCGCGTCTTTTCTTGGGGGGACCCCCAAAATGTGGCTTCCCTATGGCTTCCCTTTCGACGCCCCAAGAAAGGGGATGGCCTCAACAACAGACACGCCGACCTTTGTCTTGTTCGGGATATGACCAGAGCCGAGAGCTTCTCGGTGCAACCCTGGCCAAATCGCCAAATGGGTCCCGTCTCAGGCGCACGGATCCTCTGGCTTGTCCTGGGAATGGCGGGGTTGCCCATCATGTTGACCCCATATGGCTGTGGCTCAAAGAAATGTACCAACATGGCACCTTGGTAAATGGAACCAAAGACTAAAACCGCCAACCCTAGCTCTTGAATTTTGAGCCACGGCCATAGGTGTCCATTTCTGGTGAAATGTGGGGAATCAGACCACTTTGGAGGGGATCACCCTCATATTCATCAACTGGGGTTGATTGATATGGGGTCAACATCAGGTCACGGCATTCGCAAAGACCATGCTCTCCAGTGGACAAACACAGGCGCAACGGTAAGCTTAATGCAGCAACTGGAGCTACGCTGTTTCAGTTCACCTGCGAGCACATGTGTTCAGTCACCTTGCCTTGCAAAAGATTCGCTACGAGGTGACGTGGCTATGGGTCAAAAGCCTGTGCCCCCAGTGAACATCCCAATCCCAGCTGGAATAGACTAAAATGGGTGGTGCACCTACCCCAAAATGGTACCATTGGTTTTGACCCACAGCCACATTCTTCCAGGTCCAAAGTGAACGAACTCCACCTCATTCAGCTTGTGACAACAAGACACGCTCCTTCATCAAGCTCTGGATGAGGAACTGCATGAAGGAAGTGAGGCCGTGCTTCTGTCCGCGGCACCAGCGCGAGAAGGGGCACCGGATCTCGATGCGAAAAAGGGAAGCTCCAGTGCAAATCTCTGAACCTTTCCCAAAACATGGGGAGATTGCCCATATTCTCTTCAGGGCATGGACAATATGCACGTCTAAACGTGACTATCTGATCTTGAGATCCTTCGAGCTTGCTCTGCTGTCCAAGCTAATCTCCGTGACAAGATAAATACGATGTGCGGGGTGATGGAGTTCGATTGGACTTGCAATACAATGACATGCTAGGCACGTGCTTAGGATTTACGACTCACCATCAGTCAGCTTATGTTCTGTAGCCTATAGCCATGTGAGATTGTGCGCCGCGTGCCACAGAAAACTACACCAATCCTACCATCAGCAATCCCTGGTTCTCTCTTTTGAAAGGAAGCCTTGCTTCATGGGACCTGTAAGAAGGCCGCACTTCGCAAGCGAGAATCGAAAACTAGGTAAACTAGCATCCAGGTAAACTAGCCACACGTATTTTCGGAAACTAGCATCCAGGTAAAAGTGTGTTGTTTCTGCCGGTTGGCAAGAAACTGACAGTTGCCTCCAGGTATTCCTTCGCGGAATCCTCCTTCTTCTTCTCGTCTTGCTCCTGCCGCAAATGCGAGCATGTCGAATGTCAAATGATTGAACCAAGGAAATGCTGGGGCATGTGCACGCTGCAGATTTGCTCCGTGCAAAAATGGTTGAACTGCTCTATGCATGCGGGCAGCACATTTCCTTCATTCTACAGTGCCGCTGAACATGGTGCTGAATGAAACCGCCCACATAGTGGTTCCGCTTATGATTCAGTAATATCGCGCACCTTGCTGCAGTTACCAATCATCCTAGGCATATCTCCGGTGGGCCATGACCAAGAGCCTGAAGAGAGCTAGGGTGCATTCCCTTTGTGTTGCGAAGGACAAAACTTCGATGCTGAGGCATGTGCTCCCTTGTCATGCTGGATTGCATTGTGTGAGCTGTGGAGTCGATTGAACGCGCTTTGGGGGTCTTGTCACTTGCCCTCATTCAGTTTGGGTCTCGAGGCTGTCTCCTCTTGAGCTGCCTGCGAGCTGTCTGTGCCTGCGGGCTGCAATCAGCTCTGATTCTGACTGGGAAGCCAAGATTCATAAGAGCCAGGGTGACATGGATTGTTTCTCAACGGGGGAACATGGACTCAACACAGAGTCTTGCCTAACCATTCTTATGCCCGGCTCTCAGGACCCAAGATGAGCAACTTCATGTGGACGCGTGACATCATCTGAGCCATTGGAGGGCCACTTCACAAGGCTCGCCTCTTGCTGGTGGAAGCCAGGCCATACTTTGGGCTCGGTCTCATGCCAACTTTGAGCTCAGTTTCACCAAAGAGCAGCCGGCAGGTGTTCAATGAGAGCAAGGACACAACCGCAAATGGCTGTTCAAGGCTTCGAATATACGCTAGAAGCTGACGACAACAAGCATGTGACGCGGGAGGAAAAGGCATGCCAACATCAACATGGTGCAAGATGTATGCCTTTTCATACCGCGATATGTTCCATCAATATACGGGTCTAAACGTGTTGTCCCCAACCGACTCGAGAATATGTGTTGTGAGCCAAGTGTCTTCGCATCCCGGCATTCCCTATTTTATCATGTTTTCCTAATTCAGAATCCCGTGACTGTTTGAAGGGTCGCTATACTAAGTTGTTGTTTTCCCCAAAACAAACAAACAAACAAACACAAAAGTGCAGCCATCCCTTTTTTGAAAATACACAACTAAATACTGAGAATCTGAGGGCTAGTCTTGGCAATGATAAATTAAGTATTGGAAATACTAAACCAAGTAGTGGGAACTTGAGAGTCAGTCTTGGCAATAGCAAAGATAGACTTGGAAATACTAAACCATGGGAATGTGAGAGTTGGTCTTGGCACCAAAAAATTAAGCATTGGCAATACTAAAGTAACTAAGTGCTGGGAACTTGAAAGTAAGTCTTGCCAATACTAAATTTAGACTTTGAAATACGAAACTAAGAACTGGAAATCTGAGGTCAGTCTTGGCAAGACTAAACAAAGTATTCTCAGACGCCCAGTAACCATGGGGCAAAAAGAGCATCTTTTTTGTTGGTTGGTTGATTTTGAAGGAGAACCCTTCCCAAAAAAAGGAAAAAACGGGCACCAGTCAACTGGGTATTGGCAATACTTCAGTAAGTACAGCAATTCCCAGTCCCGCATAGACCCCCAGCTTTCCCACTAAAGAGACCCACGGGGACTGTTTCAACTGTTCGGGGGGTGGGGGGGGCTATTGTAGCAGCCACAGCATTGCTACAGCAGATGATGCATGTTGACGGTTCCTCATATGGGGGTTGTGCAAGATTACTTCTCCTGAAAACTGCCCTTCCGTCGCCCTTCCGCAAACCTTCCGGGCACTGCCGCGCCCATTGTTCATCTACACACAAGTTATCACTGGTTTTCGGTCAATGTTTTCGGTTACTGGCCCTTGCACATCTCTTGCGCCGCCCTTCCGCGTCTCTTCCGCACACACAGTGGAGGTTCATGCCATGTAAGACTGGAAATTCGGAATACTAAGCCGAATGACACTGGTCAAGCGGTTCTCTCCGTTCCCACGGGCTCCTTGCCAGAAAGCTGAACAAGGAACGTATTTCTGGTCACCTAGTGGCTTCTTTTTGATACTGGAGGCCTCCATCTGCTCGAATGTTTTCGCAACAAACTCCGGTATGTGCCACTGGGAAGCAAGTCTGCCCATCGAGGCATCCGAGAGCTTTGAAACGTGCCAAAGACCCCGTTAAAAGCTGTGATGTGACCCTGAAAGGCAAGGATTGCATATGATATACATATACGTATACATCCCCCCCCCCACTCTCCCCTCCCAGCCCCCCCCTTTTCCCCCACCCCTCCGTGGACTCGCAACAGTCTTGTACTTGCCGGGGTCAAGCAAGACATATTGAACCCAGGGCCCGAAAAATGATGCAAGGGGGCAGGACATTTTGACCCCGGGCCCCATCTTCCCAAACGATCCAAGCCACTGCCCAACTTTCGACTTCAGCCGATTGCTCTCTCCAGCCTTGCGGCTTGATCCGGATGGCCACCTGCATTGGTGGAGGGTGAACCATTTTTGTCGTTGGTGTGGGCGCGTGAGCAAAACTTCTGGCGGGGTGCGCAACCGACAATAGCGACAATCAACAGACAGACAGACAAACAATCAAACAAACAGACAGACAAAAAAGCAAACAAACAAGCATGCAAACAAACAAACCCCAAAACAAACAAACAA